CACCGCACAATCGCTACAGTCATAATTATTTACAGAAAATTAAATCTTGTAGAAAGTCATTGCTTACTATCGTCCTGAGTTAGCGGTCAATCCTGGTCAACCCATATGTGAACTGACGACGAATTCAAGATCATTTTTATTCTGAGCTTGAAGACGATCTGCAGAGACTTTTATTAAGTAACGATTGATCACCCATCTGCATCTTTCTTGATTATATACAACTTGCAAAGTAGGCACAGATTAAACTTTCACTTATAGGTTAACAAATCAACTATCCAAAATTTATGCGCAATATATTTAACTGCCAATGGAACTGGCATCAGTTGACAATTTGAATATGCTTCGAAATTGAAAATAATTAAATACAACATATCAACAGGTTTTAAATACAAAAGCATAGCACACTTGCTGCAATGAACACTAATTATTAGACCAGTATTGAATTGGTGGTAGGGAAAATTCGTGAAAGAAATGAAAACGTAAATTATTCTGGGAAAAACTAAATAGAAGTTTGTTTCTAAATTATTACTTAAAATCAAAATTTGCATATTACGAATTATATTTTGGGAGTCACGAAGGTTTTCCCACCTAATATTAGCTTCTGAATTGAAAGACAAACAGGAGTAGTAAAAGCCAGATTACCATCGAACACAATTTACACATTTGGTTGTTCTTCGTAAGTTTCTTCCATAAAATCTATTTGTGACTCCTCTAAGTATTGTTCAGTGATTTCTCCCTCAATGTACTATAAGACATAACTATATAAATACATTTCATATATCTCACCTGAACATTCTCATCTTCATAAATTTCTTCATATTGTCCGACATCATCCGCATAAGCTATTTGTTCTTCCAGCTGAAAACTCATGTTCATTTCGTTAGTACTATCAGAAAACCCACATGTCGACCCGTGGAATCAGAAGTTTGAGCCAACTCTTGATTATATTGTGTTTTAATTTGTACATCATCAGTTTTTCTCTGTCTATCGAAATCATTCTTTCTCTCCATTTCGGCCAACTCTTCATCTTCTTCCATCTCTCCAAACGGATCCGTTTCATCGAAATCATCAGGAGGAATAGGAGCCTGAACAAGGTTATCATTAAGAAGTAAATATTCTGTCTTACCCTGTTTGCAGGCTGTGGGTGAGCATTTTCGCCTTCATCTAGAGAAGTTGCAAGATCTCTCGCGGTTTCCGGATCAATTTCTTCATCTTCGCCGAGTAATATATACACCGGCTCACCATCCGCACCATACATTGTTTGAATCTTAAAAAGACGTTTGTTATCGGATGCTGTAGAACACATACCTTGGAGAAATCGACATTATACTCGCTTTTAAATCTTTGGATCATTTCAGGGTCATCAATAACTTCTCCAAGTTGAGCATCTGAAACTATCTTATAAGCACATGTTAAACATTTCCGAATTGTACCTGTTCTACGTTGAGAGCCAGATGCAGCTGATTTTGGAGGCTGGAATGTTTTATTTCAATGAATAACGAATGAAATATGGTACCTTAGTGTTTCCAGTATACTCAGGCATCATCTCAGGATGTTTAGATTTTAGATGTCGTATTCCTCTACACATATTGTACGGCTTATGAAGAGCATATGTGAGATTGCATATAAGGCATTCCACTAATTGAGCATGAACAAATTCCATACACCCATCAGACACTCTCTCCAGCCTAGCCTTGCACAACTCATATTGCATATTTTCCATTTCTCCCGGGTGATGTTGTTTGTAATGCTTGATGGCTCCTATATTATTATTTAGGATTGTTCTTTCAGTTTCTCTATACCTGCAGAAATAACAGCACCAAAAATATTTCCTTGGCATAACTTGCACCTCCACTGACATTCAGAAACTGCTTCTACGTACATAGAGTTCGTAGGTACCGCTTGTCTGAACCGTACTTTATTAATTTGCATTATTATCTGAAACAAACCTGAAGCATGGCTGCACAAAACTTCTTTTAGGTTTGCTTCTCCTTCCAAACTGCATTCGACTGTTTGTGTAAGACTGAAAACGATCACCTTTTTGAATCAAGGTTCATAGAAAGCATACATCTTTATAATTTCCCGAGTTATTATCATCCACGTCGTCCTCGTTATGCTCATTATTACCCTGCATTTGCAGTTTTTGCATCCTTCGACCGATCGCCTAGATAAAACAATTGTTTACAAGTCTTACTCATGAGTTACCTTATCGAGAATAGCCTCAGAACTATATGTCTGCTCGAACTTGTGGCACTTTACATGGAATTCATCAGGTAAAACCACTTCGAAATCTTCTCCATACTTCTCTAACAAACGAGCATTTATCACAAGCTCCTTAATAGTCAAGTTGCTGATATAACATAACGTTACTTTTTACCTGCAGACATAGCAAACATTTGGGTACTTCAATTTCATCAGGGTGAACTTCGGTAAAATGCATGGCTAGAGCGTTTTTATCCATGAACATACCGCACCAAATACATTGCAAATTGTCTGAGCTCTCCAAACTGACATCAATGACAGCGAAATCCTAAATATATCTCTTCGAGAAAGTCTACTTTATAAAAGAGTTACTTGAATAGATAATGGTTTTCCACAGCCAGGTTGCGTCTGTCTATTCTGCCAAGTTCCAGCACAACGATGGGCGGAGGGATGCCAAGCATTGAAATGCCTCACAAGATGTACAATCTCGAACTTTTTGTTGAGAGACACAACAGCATTACAAATTCCACAACGCGCATGCTGTTTATCTACCAGAGAAACCGGGACCTGTTGATGGGTGTTAATTTCTGAGAGAACCGTTTGAAAAAGATACCTTTCTTCCCATCTTTTCAATCATTTTTTTTTTCAGAGCAATTTCCAGTTGTCCCAAAGTCATTTCTACAGGGTTGACACGAATCTGACTGACTTTTCTCAGTGGTCTTTGACCTCTAACTCTCATCATCTCCTCAGTTGGAAGAGCATCGAATGTTCTACAGCTTCAGTTGAAATAATTTAAACTTATTCGTTCTCACCGAAAACCGCTCTCCATATTTTTCTTTTCAATGTACAGTTTGTCTCTCAACCAAGTTTCATATGGTATTTCCTCAAGATTCATGGTTCCATCTCCCAAAACCTAAAAGTTGAGCTTCAGTCTCTGTTTGAGCTGTTTCACAAACCTCTGGATGCATATTTGGAAGATGAACAGACATCAAATTGTCATAAGGAACGATTTCTCCGCAAAGACCGCAACAAATGTTTTTGCTATCTAGGAAATTGAATTCAACCGTTCTGAGATCTTCGGTTGCAGCTTCAACAACCATTTGAACTTCTTCACCATTGGCATCATAATAGATTTCGGTTCCTAATAAAAAATATACTAGGCAAAACAGATATGTTGACCAACCATCAACACCTCTGGAAACATGAACATACTGCTGAGTACCTCCAGGAGATTGAACACGGACCATGTTCTCATTTTCCATGTACATCTATATCATGTTATGAAACTGTTTATCACGTCAAAACATACATCGGGTTGCCTTCTCCTCTCTTGTGGGCCTAATTCTGGTACTAAACGGGGAGGTGCGTCATCATCTTCTTCCTACAACATTATTCATAATATTTGAATAAAAATAAATCACACTTCTGGATGATCATTTGGTTCCTGTTTGCTCGTTGTTTCTATATTAGGTGGAGATTCTTGTTGGAGTAGAGTTGAATTTTCATCGTCCAATTGTACTTCTTGTTCTTCTTAACACGGATCATTCAACAACAAGCTGGATTCAATACATACCGATGACTTCTATTCCCTCGGGAATCTCAGAGTACTCAACCTCTTCGACAAAATCGTCGTCACCCATTTCATACATGAGTTCCCTTCCGCTCTCATCGATAACTGTGTAAGTGCGAGGCTGAAAAAAAAAACTGAAACGGAAGGAATTTTCCAATTACCTTCTTATTAGAAATTATCTCCTCTTGAACATCGTGAGCTGTGATATTAAGTAATTCCTGAGGTTGATCACTTTGTCCTTGATATTGTGCTGGTGACTACAATAATAAAATGAGACTAATAATAATAATATTAAAACCTGATGATTTTTCCTAAATTCATTTCTAATACGAGAAGTTAATATAACAGGCCTTGCGCGTTCTTTCGGGCGATGTTCCTCTGGCAAATCAGACCCAGGTTTCTATAGTGGATGTTAAGTCAATTCGAACTTATTTCAAACAAACTTGTGAATCATCTACTATAATTTTCGATGTACTTGGTACATCTTCAGTTTTATCCACAATATCTGTGACATCCTTGAAAGTAACTTCCGTGACGGCATCAGATTCTAACTCAATTTTCTGAATTTCCGCCGGAGACATCAGATTATGCTGTAATATACAACTTGGACTTGGGCTACACCTCTTTGATGAAACCTCCATCTCAGTGATTTTCTCCTCTTTAAGCCCTCTTGTAGTTGAGCTTTCCGACATACTCGACCTTGTTCGTTGACGACCAGAAGTTTTTAGCAAATCCCCATCCTAATATAAATGTGTCAATCCAGAAAAACCAACTTGTTACTAACTATTTGGCTTTCAATTAATTTCCTGCTTGGAACACGTTTCCTTGTACTCCTACCCACTCCCTGATTGTCTCCATCAGAATCATTTGAATCTTTTTGAATGAACTGCTCTTCTGCAACAGTAGGCTTCTTGCGGGTGCGCCCAGTTCTAAAGCAAAATAAGAGGTGAAACTTGAATGGAAGGCAGATCTCACTTCTTTTCCGCATATTCAGATTCAATATTTGCTTGTTGTGATGTGCTAAAAGTGTAATTGTTTAAGATCAAAAACTGCGAATTTTACCTCGCAATATTAGTGGTATTACTGTATGATTCAACATTAAAAGGTGGTTCCTCTTTAATAACAGGCTCCTATTGGAGAATATGTTTCAGTTCGCAATTCCATTGAATTTACCTCTACTTGATTTGTCCGTGTTCTCTTTCTTGCTTGTGGGCTACTTACATTATCCGGTTGCGAGGTTGTGGAGGACTGCGACAAGCGGGAAACGCGCCCTAATCACAACAACTTATTTACTTTTCAAATATGTAAAACCTCTTTTTCTAGAAGTTGAATTTTCTTCTGCACTCGAAACAAAAGGTTTCTCTTCCACATTCAGATCTATTTTTTTATCATTTTTACTGAAAGCTTTTGTGGGACTGAGTCTTGATGAACGCCTCGGCGAATCTGTCAAATGAAAACATTAAATTTCTCCTTTTTACTTCAAACTTCCAAGCTTTTATTGGAATATAAGCTTTGAAGCTTCCTCTATGGGAATGGTATAATAAACAAAATACCTTTATTAGACCGAGTGGACATCTTGAAATTTAAAAATATTAGTCTGGCGCTACTTCAATGGTCTCGCAGAGAATTAGTTTCGGGGTAAGACGCTTCGAACATCAGTCGATTAGCCACGCCTTTTTGACGCGGCGCGTGTCGGTCAAATGGCGCGAAATATATTTTTTGAAAATGATCGCCAAAGGAGGCAATGTTTTCAATAACACGGTATTTCGCTGATAATCCAATGTTTTTTTGTGAACAGAAGAATGAACGTCTTATAGTTTATAATATACATGACTTGATATAAGCAACACATGTATTAACGAACACGTTAAGTATTTACACTAGAAAAATAGGACTACCTGAATTCTCATGGCAAACGTAAACATGAATATATAATTTCAAAAATCGTATTTACATTATTACTACCCGTTTTTAAAAAATTACAATAATATGTACACCTAATTCAAAGCTGCCTATACACGTCGTATTCTGTCAGCGTGAAGAGAGTTGATAGCGTCACAAATATCTTTGTCTAAAGAAATTGGTGAACACATTTTCACATAATATTCTAGGTCGTAAGAATATGGTCCATTCCAATACCTCCTATTGATTTCTTTAATCATTCTGAAAATATGAATAATAAGTTGGTTAACAAAAAATAGAGCAACCGCTGTTCGCGTCATGAACAAACAAAATGAGAGCAAACAGAATATGCTAATTTTAAGCGCGCGAGAAAAAGTATACTAACCTCATTAGAGGTTTCTGCACAGAGTCCTCTTTGATGACTACACTCAAACCAGTGTCGGCATAGAAATAATCCGGAGTGAAGTTTGAAGTTGCTAAACAACACATAGTTCAGTGTATTCTTTGAATTAACTTACAGATCAAAAATTCTTTTTCAGTCAAAACGGATTTACCATGAGATTTACGATCCATATACACATTTTCGTATGGGAAGGAATGAAGCTTCTGCAAAGAGGAATTTGAAACCTTTTCACTTTTCTTCCACTTACGATTTCGATATTTGATGAATGTCTTGAGAGTTTTTGGAAATATTGCAAAGTTTCTGCTCTAAAATTTGAATGTCTTGACATGGTCATTATCCGAACATTGACGCCCCGACTGGCGGCATTAATAACGGCTTCACTCATTTCGGACATTGTTCTAAAAGATATAGTTTGACATGAGAGATAAAAGAGTTTTCGTACTGGTTTGAATTCATGAAGTGGAAAAATGGAACAAAGTCCATTACTGATATGTGAACTTCTTTTTCAGCTTCGTTGATGAGTCTCAAAATTTCGTTCAATTCACTGTCACGTCCTGATTCTCTCATGATATCAGGTGAAATCTGAAATTCATAGCGAATATTTTCCTAGACCAGTCTGGGACTTACAGCTGTATGGATCTGTGTTTTCCCGATTCTGAGTCGATTCTGGTGATTGTAGGGTGATTGGCTCTGGAAAACTACTAGACTTCCTCCAGCTGAATTCCACATATTGTTGTAAATCTGGAAGAGATGATAAGAAGGAAGTTCAGGAAAGGCGAAAATACTTGTTTCAGATCAGCCGCGAAGCAAGGGCAATTCTTCACTAGAACACCTAATTCACCTTTCTACAAATTATGTTATCAAAACTTATAAATTATTACAATTGAAATTACCTGTTGTAACGATAAATAATCTAAATTAGCCGAGGTGATAAGACTGTGAACATCATCGACAATGATTGACTTTGAATGTTGAATAACCATCGGCATTGTGTCATGAGTTCGCCGTTCGAGAGCTCCTAAAGTTATTCTTTACTACTTATTCTTTGTTTTCAACTTACCCAAACGATGTAGTTCTTCTGCATCACGGTATTTGACGGAATCAACTTCTCCCCCAACGTCGATCAAACGAATTCTAATATCATCGATCAAGCCTCGTTTTTTCAGTAGTTCATAGATTTCGTTACCCTTAAAACAAACTAGAATTAAAACAAATCTTTTTTTTTTAAATTTTCTTTGTTTCCACCAATGATGTGTGATTACTGTATTGGATCGACTCAGAAGGAAATGAAAAACACAAAGATCATACCAGCTGAATCCTTTACAACATTTTTGAGAATTTGAAAGAAACAGTTTATTTCAACTCTGTAGTACGTATTTTGAGCTCTACAGTATCTCTCACATGTGTTCAGTTCATTTCATAAAAAAGTACTTTTAAAGGTACTTTTCATTAAATTTATTTTGTCATATTATATTTCTTTTTTTAATGCTTATTCAACATATCAAGAAGAAAATATGTGCGCATAGTCTGTGGAATCATTGCTCTCCACAGACAAATACAATTCTGGCTGAGCTTTCGTGTTCAAGAGGATCACAACAACAATTCCGAACTTCTTGCTGCTCAAATGATCGAACTCCATTAATTGGATGAATTGATCAGCCAGCCAATCATCAGCATCATCGGCTTTCACAGAATCGCAGGGATACGGTATTCAAAAAAACTAACCCGCTTAGCGTAACGTTCACGATATTCGTGATCGTATTCCTTGGCACGAAGATTACTTGAAGATGCCATTATGAGAATCTCTTCACGAGCATTCTCGAAAAGATCTGTGAAAATGGTGTAGCTGTTATTAAATTTCAGCTGAGAGTAGTCGAAAGGTAAATTTTCAGGAAAATCTTCAGTGATTTCAATCCTGTAAATCGTTGATATAGCTGAAAAGATACTCTAATCCTACCTGCAAGTGCTAGAGCATTTCTCTTCAGTACTCAAAGAAGGAGAAGGTTTTACTTCTAATACTTTTGTCTTTTTTTCTAATTTAATCAAAGGTACGGCGTAAGAAACGCCGACTACCATCCACACAACGATGCTGATCAAAAGGACGAGTACCGTCAAAAGCTCACTAAAATTATAATAAATAAATTTGGTTCTCCTAAATTTTCTTTCTTTTATTCATTTCTCTCTTCCCTCTTCAGAAACCAATCGACCTTCAAGTTTTTTTTGATGGAGATTCGAAGCCTCAAGAAGCTTTGCTCATTTTACTTTTATTTCACAAGAAAAAAAAACATTATAAAACAATTAGATAAGAGACAGAGGATCCTGCGGTCTTCTGAGTCTGGCCCATACTTTTTCTGGAAGCGCGAAAACAAACCTTCGTTGGCGTTTGAGTTGATGTTCAGATGAAGGTTGTAAGTAACGTAGCAGCATCACGAAGATTCTGGGTGTTCACGTAAACATACGCGAAGCCTTAAAAAGGAAGAGGGGCTGGGCGTGTCCAGAAGACGTGATGTCTGTGACGGCACCAAGTCAGATTCAGCCAGCTATTATCAAAGATAACGTTCTAATACGGAGAGGCACCCGAGTCAGAAGATGAAATAGCACTGAAAATTAATAGACAATTATGAAAAAAAGATCATTTGACCAGATGACATTGATCAGAAAGACGGAACGAGATTCGTCGTCAACACCACATACGTACTGCAGATGATGATAGCTTACAGGTCACATGACGTCATGTCATCTGACGCCCACGTTTCCCAGTTTCTCCTTCGCACACGACACTCTCACGCACCAGAAAGTGTCTCTGGTTTTTATAAGTTCGTGTGGAACCAGTAAGAGCTGCCCAGATCAGACCAAAATGATAGTAATACAACATTTTGCTACCGAGCAAACAGTTTCCGATCTCTGAAATGGATATCATATCATACCGTATTCGGAAAGCTGATAAAACCTAGTTTGACCAGTTTACAGAACCTTGTATATGACATCATCGAAACCAGATCATGGGGTCGACTTCTATCGGAAGTATATCTGCCAAGAATGACCTGTTTATCAAAAAAAGAACATTTTTGTTTGTTAATCAACTGGTTTAATGAGGAAAATTTATTAAGGAAACAAAGACTTTGAAGTTCTCATTCAATCATAAACAACTACCACATAATACTCCTCTGTGTCGTCCTGGTAAGCAACTCCGGCTCCAATTGTCCTCAACCAATCCATTTTCATGTAATTTATTGTGTCTGAAGTTCGTAAATAACACAAAGATCACATCGTAATCAGAACCAAATTCTTCAGCTTCATCATACCAACTATCTGCAATGGCAGCGGTTAGTCTCCTTCCTCTCCAAATATTCATTTTTGACCCAACTTCTCTTCTAAACATTACAGTTATGACCTTTTCATTGAAATTTTTGAGCAAGCGAAGAAAAAATAAAAATTAACCTGTTTAGCAAAAGTTATTTGAATCACACATCTCTTACCTGAATAAATTACTTTTAGCCAAGTGCTCAGCCCATTGTCCTGCCTGTTCAGCCAATTTCGGATCAGGAATCAATTCCGGACGACCGGATGAACGCCTGATCAGATTTATGCGACTAACTATCTCATCCAAATTTGCATTTGATGTATCCCTTATGAATATGGGAATATTTCTTAAAAAATCCTGATTTTCAAAAAAGAATCAGATGACTTCCGACCGAACTCTTTCCCGTTTTGTGTGGATTGTGGCTAATCTGGAATGTGAACCATCACGTGACCAATCATCTCCATAAATGGTACTGTCTCCACAAATATGATCCGGTTCTCAATTTCGTAATATTGAAAACTTTTTTTTTCAGACACCTTACCAACATACTCAACAGAACTTCTACGTAAAGTTTCGAATGCGTGAGGAGAGTTTGTAGAAAATCTATTGATTTCAACCGTTTTCGGAATGGCAGGGGGGGCAGGCCTTGTGATAACAATCCTTTCTGGTCTTTCTTCATCGAAATGTACAGTTCTCTATAAATAAATGATCACTTTAATGTGACGATGACGTTTCTCATCTTTGAAAATGAGAGAAAACTATCTTCTTTTTCTTACAAATCTAGAAAGTTTTTTTCTCAAAGTTTTTTTTTTGATAACTTTTGAAAATTAAAAATGGCGGCAACTAGAAACTACAATTACCGTGTTTGTTACAGAAATCAGACGTCCATCCGGCGTTCGCCGTTCCATTCTCTTTTTCGTAACAAAAAATTTGTGTGAATTCTGGTCTCTGGGTGAGAACATGTGTTCTTAAGATGAAAATATTGAAATATAAATTAATACAAAGTTGACGATTTGAAAAAAAGTGTTGTCGGCCACAAAGTAGGATGGAAGGAAGTTGTGTGAAACCAATCGAGGGTTGAATGAGGCAAAACGACATTTCGAATGATAAAGGCTTTTTGTACAAATATGGAATACAATTGAATCCATACATTCTCAGAGTTTCGTGAGTCATCAGATTTCGAAGCAATATTGCCTGAGGCATTCGTACTTGTACGGTATCATCATTAATTATATTATCATCGTACTTGCTTTGTGTCTCAACAGAAAACAACTTAAAAGTTTTATTGTCACAGTGGCTGATCGTATCACAACGTAATATCAATTAAGGAAATTCAAAAAAAATTTTATGGAAAATTCATCACAATTGGATTGCATTTGGAAACGCCCGTATAGCTTTTTCAAAATGTGCAGCGAAATAGAAAAAGACCTGGATTCAAAGTTTTCGTAAGAAAAAGTGAAGCGTTTAAGGGCAAGAATAGAGGTAGTTAGGCTGAAGCAATTATCACATTTTGGTGGCCGATTGGATTGATCACTCAAATGGGAACATCTTGACTGCCATTTTCAGCTGCACGGCATCTCCAATCACAGTAAAGTACATCACACAAATATCACGCTAGAATGACAATATATGAAACAGACAAATAAGGAAGTACTCTTACCTATAAGGCTTTACATCAATCAGACACATCCGGTTACTTTAGTTAAGCTTATATAAAGAGCATAAGACATCAATTCATCGTATTTGTTCATTATACCCCATGTTTGGTGGAAGAACACTACATGTTCCCTGAAACAGAATAAAATACTAGAAATGAAATGAAACGACTAAAAGGTTTGACGATTAGTGATCAATAGCTTATCAAAGTAATATCAGAAAAAGCGTATATGGTTACATGCATGTGCGTGTGGCTTGAAGGATGCCAAATGGAGCTCATCATTCATGTGGTAAAGAATGAGAATGAGTTTAAAAAGGAAAAGGAGAAACATTTCCTTAGCGGAGAGGAGTATAAAAGATCAGACGTGAGGCAAACAAGAAAGACGGGAGGAGATTTTATCTCAGAGAAAGAAAAATATGAACGACTCTCTCTTTTGTCTTTCATCGGTTTAAGGAGGTTTGAAGAAAGAAAGAAGGAAGTTTTCTTAAAGTAAAAGACGCTTGATGATCTTATTTAGACTTTAAATGTGTTTGAATGTAAAAGAAAATTGAACAAGCGCATCTAATGTGCTTGAGAAAAGAAAAAATCGCGAGGCTTACTCGTTAGTTCTCAGAATCGATGTCTTAGGCCAAAGATGAAAAAGCAAAAATTTGATGGATAAGCAATTTTGGACGATTATTGAGGAGATAAGATACAAATTTGACAAAAAGAGGAGCTCAAGCGTTTGAGTGAGTGACTAATTGGAAAGATATCGAAACAAACAAAAAACAAAAAGTTTATAAGGCAAAGCAGTGTAATGACGAGGTTCTTCTTTCAGATATTAAATGACCTCCAACAAGTAGAAGCCATCTGGTGTACAGCTGTCATCAACAATTCCACGCAAGATATTTCTGCCCAAGACCTCCCGGTCATTGACCAAATATGGATATGGGAAGGAAACACAAAAAGAAGAAAAAAAACGATTTTTGGTCAAGAGATTTGAAAAATGGTGAAAGCTTAGAAGAAATGGAAGAAAATAACTTCAGAAACCAATAATAGAAAGCTGAGACAACGCTCAGGTAAAAGAACGGATGAAATTGCAAGAGGATGAGCTGATCAGCAGTATTTGCTTGACTCTTATGAAAACCCAACACTCATTCTCATATCCTGATTGCCGTTCACACTGACGATCATTTGTCGTAAATAAATTGCACAAATAGAGAAAAAGAAAAAAAACACAAAAATAAAGAGAAGAAGAAGTTCCAACAAAAATTATGAGGTTTTATAGGAAAAACTGGCAGCTGCCATGTATTACAACAGAAAACTTTATGAATCCTTACGATCTTCATTGGGGCAGCTGTCTCAAAAATAAAAATTGCGAATTGAGCCGATTTAAGGGGTTTTATAGTGTATAGATAAGGAGATCATAAAAGTTGAGGAATAATGATTGCTCCTAATGTGACAGGATGACAATTACCATCGATTACGGAATAGTAAACGAAAATAACTCTATCTCGTCTCGAGACCTAATGTTTCAATGAAACCAAATTGGTTTGTATCAGAGAGATCAACAGAGAGTTGTAACTAGCATTCCTCAAGCTTCATAGTCTCATTCATAATTAAACACAGAGAACTGAGCTATACACTACGATTTTGAAAGAGGCTCATGTGAACAAATATTTTCCCGGCAAGAAAAATTATATAAAAAGCATTTTTTTAAGTGAACTGAAAAAATAGAAGTAAGCTTGGCCTTGTTGAATGTTCTATGTCGCTTGGTGGGCTGTGAGAGAAGCAATCGATGACGGAGAGAGTTGGGGCCACTTGGCCGCCTTTCGGATGACAGACGGGACGGGTCTTAGCTTCTCCTCCTGAATCTAACAAACAACCCATCCTTCTTCACAGCGTTTACTGTCCGAATTCTTAATTTAGAGTATAGATGTAGGAACTCTGAAAGAATAGTGTGCAAACGAATGAAACAAAAAAATCCCGATGTTTCCAGAGAACAAAGAATATAACGAACATTGCTGCAGTCTTTATTCACAATAGCCAGAGTTCAAAGTAGACATAAACTACCATTTCAGAAAGGAATAGTAGCAATTGAAATTGTGTTCCTTTTCTGGACGAACGATGTATATGGTGTGAACGAGAAGATAAGGATACAAAATTTTGAGCTCAGTTATCTATTTTCGAATCATTGCCATCGGAAATTATGGCTAACATAAGAGGTGTCAGACACAAATTGGTGATTCATCAACGCTCGTAAGGGAATTGAACATGCTACCATATTTTCCTAACCGCACCACTTGCAATGCGCTACAAGAACCCTTGCGACACGTCTCAGCTAGTGCAACCAACAATCACAACTCTCCCTATTTTTCAATTTCTGATAACAGGTAAATTGCAAGCGGGAAAAGCCTGCGATTTTTATGAATTTGAACACGGATTAAAAAGAAAAAATAAGTTAGAAGACAGAAGCAAAAATTGAGCTCAGAACTCTGTTAGAATCATCGCCATCGGAAATTATGGCTAACATAAGAGGTGTCAGACTATATATACCTGTCATTCATCAGCGCTACACGTTTTCGAACCCGCTACGTTTTTCTCGTATTAGATTTCTTACCAATGTACTATGGTACGACATTTACTTGTTTTTCATGTTTACCAACGACGGATCTCTCAACTCGTAAAAATGCTCTTTATTGAAAATGAAGAATGCATTTTTTTATAGTCTTCTCTTTCTCCTTTCCGGACATGGGCAGTAGCCAGCATCTTCTCCTGGCCCACCTGGTTCTCCATAGTTTCCAATTCCTCCATCATAACCGTCGGCTCCTAAGTAAAATTATTATTATGCGAACTAACTTGCATTTATTCAAACCTGCTTTTCCTGCTTGTCCTTCTTTTCCTTGTGGTCCTTGTGGTCCTGGATTTCCAGCAGGTCCAGTAATTCCGGGGAATCCTTTTGGTCCTGGTGGCCCAGTAACTCCAGATGGTCCGGAAGGTCCCTTCTCTCCACGAACACCTTGATTTCCAGCAGGACCCTTTTCTCCATCTTGTCCAGGCTCTCCTGTTGATCCCATTTCTCCTTGTGGTCCACTGATTCCACTGTTTCCAGGTCTTCCAGGCATTCCTGGTCGTCCAATAACTCCAGGTAATCCTTGAGGTCCAGGTTGTCCAATATATCCAGGTGGTCCACGAGGTCCTGGTGGACATACACGGCATCCATCAGGCTCTTGTTCATAGCTTGGATTTATTCCAGATAGACCACGCTCTCCTGGCTCTCCAGGCTTTCCAGACAAACCATCAAGTCCGTCAACACCAGGGCGTCCCTTAGGACCAGCTGGACATTCATTTTGCTCATCACAATCTGAAATATGAAGCATGGAATGTATTTCAAAGACTTGAGAGCAGTGCATATAGAATAAGAAACTTACTACAAACTTCTCCAGCTTGACGTTTTTTGATGTTTCTGTTCAAGAGGGAATCAACTCGTTTGTTCTGAACCAATGTTCCCCAAACTTCATCCTACAAAGAGTTTTATAAACCAAAGAACTATTGTAAGGTTTCTAAACCTGCATGATATTGAATTCATTGATGTTAGTTCTCAGCCCATATTGGATATCTTGGACCTTTCCTATGAAAACTGATAAGGAGAGTAAAGTCAAAGACACAACAATAGAAGAAAAGCCGATGGCTGACCATGCGGCCACGTGCCCATTCGAAGACATTCTGAAATTTCAAAGAAAGTGGTAACAAATATTTGCGAACGAAAGGTATCCTGGCTTTCTGCATCTCCTTTATATAGTCATAAGCAGGGGTGGGGAGAAATGAAAGCTTAGCAGGTATAAAACCTGATTTGGGAAGCTTTCTTAATCATAGAAACTATCATCTCTTGTAGTTTATGGTTACGAAAAAACATCATTTTCTTTTTCTTTTCCCATTGGTAATCTTACTCTGCAACTGGAGATTAATTACCTTAAAATCATTTCTCAGAAAGCAAGATGAAGCAAATATTTTCGCCGAAAAGTGTTAGTGAAAACTGAAAGTATAAATTTGGTTCAAAACCATACTCAAATTATGAATATTCTAATTACATTGTTGGTGTCTTCATGAAAAAATGACTGAAAAAGGTTTTTCCGTTGCTGCATTTTCCGGTTTTCTTTCAGTTCCGAAGGTTGTCACTTCGTCATGTAAGATAAGAAGATCGTCTCACCTATGTGACCGTTTTGGGGGTTGGAGAAGATCTTAATTATTTGAGTAAAAATACAATTTATTAAAATTTGAATTGAATTACATTCGGCAAGCATAAAACAGAGGAAGATTACTAAGAGAATAAAAAATACACGCTTTTTTCACTAGTTTGTTTATTTTCTGAGATAATATTAAGTTTCTAATGCTAAAACATCATTACCCGTTCTTTATATGGTTTTAAAACAATAAGTTAGTGAGAGTTTAGTATTTTCTTGCCATACATAGCTTGTTCTATAGGTTGTTCCAAAATTATAACATTATGCACGGGTCGAGCAACCTCGTACTCTTTCTGCGGACGTCGTGATGGTGTGGATGAGTACATCTGAAAAAGAAATTTAATCAACCGCTCTCTACGTCAAATGAAAAATTAATAACCCGTCATTCACGTCAGTAAGATTCTTACGCGTAGCTTACGTGAAATCTTTTATACAATCGATTTCGTGCAATTAGCATATTAAAAAATCTCACATGACATTCAAACGTTCTACGACGTGTCAATGAAATGACAAATCGTTGCTTGGAACAAAAGTGAACTTGTTTGATGTCTCGAAAAAGGTTATTTAACGTGAACTTTTACGAAATGTTCGGAAATACAGCTCAATTAGGACAGACTCTAGACGCTCATTATGAGTTGAACAGACGTCAGTGGCTGTTATGGGCTTTAAATAGAAAGTTGAAAAAGTTGATAATAAGTGTAAAAATCGTCCGAAAACATTAAGGATGTCAGGATAGATATACAGCAAAAAAGTTTTGATTGAAAGTGTAACGTTAAATGAACTCACTCTATAACAGGCATAAATAATGTAGAAAAGGAAAAGATGTCCGAACCAAACAAAAGTCAAATGGCTGATTACGTGGTAAAGATATTTGGCTGCAAAAAAGAGAACTTTACAATTAAAAAGAGACACAAACCGCTTTTATGGTATGGATCATAGTCCAAAGCCGGGATATGAATGTTAGGTTTAGAATCGTTTTCTCGTAAGAATAATTGAATTACGTAATATACTATCACAATCAACAGCGAGAGAACTCTGACAGCCTAAAAAATAGTTTTTAGTCTCAAACTTCGATTAGAAGACCAACTTGAGTAATCAAAAGTGGTAGAAAGAGGCCAGCTTTTTCTGAATAGATTCCTTGGATGAAACAGAGGAAACTTATAATTTCTAAGAGGAAGAGAACAGCGTGTCCTAAAAAATATTCTGAGAGTGTTTTCAATTTTTTTTCTTACCAATTGGAGGAACAATGAGGTAGAACTTCTCAATGAAGAAATATTGAGCCAAGCCGAGGCAAAGAAGTAAAATGAACGCAATTATTGCTAGAATTGATTTCTGAAAGAGAATATGCTAAAGGGTGGGAGTAGATGAAACGAAACCTTAAAATTTAAGTTGCAAGTACATCGGGATCCAGGAGTTGGATGCGATAACCAATCGTAGAGTCCGAAATACATATTTGGCTGAGAATTATTGATGCGATCTGCAGAAAAAGAAAAAATGAGATTGAGACTTATATGTGTCGCTTTTTTCCGACAAACGAAAGTGTTGTTGGGGCGAATGAGCTGAACAAATGAATACATAAAACAAAAGCAGTTCATGGAAAAGGAAAGGGGGATAGAAGAAACAATTTCTTATATAAATAGATAAACATTATGCTGATGACTTTTACCATATAAGGTTATTATAAGGTTTCTAAGGAGCAAACATACCAGTTGGGTGGAAGAAAGGGTCCATGATGTACACGGAATTCAATTGAATCTTCTTCATTTTGCTCAACTTTCTATCTAACTGACTTCTATCAAGACAAGGAGGGGCTGATAACGAGGTGGAGCCTCCGGTCTAATGACAGCGACCTACGACTGTGATTTACAGAAATGTACATCAAGGAGAGAGACGTAGATGGGTCGGCATACTCAAAGACTTTCGGATTCAGAAGAGAACGTTCACAAGATTTACAGTCGTCGTTTGTTGCCTGCTAAAGTCACTCAGAGCAGGCTTTGAACGACAAAAATTGGACGATTCCGGTGGTCGTTTGATAGAAAAGGAAGATCGCTACCATTTTAGTATGGGAGTCTAAGAAAAGCGAGTTTTTTTTATTAACGAAAAGTACGAATGTTGAGAGACATCAGAGCTCGAAATTTATAAAAGGGTGAGGGGGGGGAGATAGAAGGGAGGAGGCTAGCCGTCAGCTCATCCCTCGAGTGTCATGTTGTCTAGAATAAAATGAGCATAAATGGCGTGTAATATCATAGATTATCAATGAAAAAATATTCACATAAAGAAAATATTTCTGAGCAGCTTAATCAGATTATAGATCTAATGATAGTTTGGAAGATTAGTATCCATATAAGGACAAAAAAGCCAAGCATTTAATCCTTTTCTACAAAAATTAGAACGAAAAAGCTTTCCGTATTTGTATATCAAAGGATTCTTCTCTTCGCATGAAAGTCGCAACTCATTGAAGTGTGAAATCACGAGAATGGGCCATGTAAAATAGACAAAAGAAGAAATACTTGGCGACCATCAAGCAGCTGCTAAATTAGGCAAGTCGATGAATGATATCCTGAATTTCGTCTTGAAACTCAAAAAAAAAACATATTGGATAACAGCGGCTGGCTGACAGATGACGTGACGAAATAAGTTAAATGAACTTTCATGCTAATTTGTGAAGAATAACTTTGTACAGCGTCTAACAAAGAGAAGTTTCAAAGTGAAACATTCCATTTAGGCAATAAGGACGGGAGATTCAGAATGAAAAACCTGAACAAAACAAGCCAGATGACTCATAAAAAGCGTTCTTAACTGAAAGAAAAATCAATTTATCGGATAGAATTGGAAAGTTTCTTGAACCATCTTGCCATGGATAATGTGTGTTTATAGCGAATGCACGAGAATAACCCAAAAGTTAATGATGAGAGACACTCCTTGCGTGCTATGAAAACCCTCAATTATTAACGTTTGAAGGGCAAACACACAGTGTGAGATGATAGAGAAGAGATAATTCTATAAATGAATAATTGAAAAAGTTATGATTTTGATGAAACAAATCGAAGGAAGCAACGCACCTACCACACTGACAGGCGGCAAGATCAATATAAGAACAGAACCGGAATGAGGAAAACAAGAGAGAGAGAGAAAGAAAAGAGAGAGGGAGAGAGAGAACTCAAAATGGGAGGAGAAGAAGATGGAGGAAGTCACTGGAAGTACGAAATATGAAGGAAAAGTGAGAAAATGAACAGACAAGAGAGAAAGAGAAAGAGAGAAAGTGAGATGAGCGAAAAATTAAAACAAATACGAGTAACAACGACTAAATTGTTGATGAAGTGCTCGTTTAACTACAGCACTTCCTACATCCCTCACAATTGCTTACAATATTCTCCGTTTTTTACTCCATAGTAGGCTCCAACAATCACGGATCGCATTGCAAGAAAAAGAAGCCAGAAATCGACAAAAAGCCTTATAAGTCATATGAAAAAGAATAAGAAGAAAGCATTTTTTAAGAATCTCTCATTTCAAACGAGAACTAGAAGCGACAATTCAATCAAGAAGATATCCTGGATATATATCTTTTACTTTTTACTCAATCTGACAACACAAATAACTTGATTGAGTATGTTAGATCGTGACAACTTGTAAAGATTAAATCATAATTAGAGAAATTCAAAAATTGCAATTTTTGGAGATACAAACGTACGCAAAGTATATTACCGTACTCGCAGAGCAATTTATGCAAATTGTTATGAAATTACCGTATTCAATTATTTTCAAACGAAAAGACGCCTTGAGTGACTGGTAGCATGTTGGCGGTCAGCTGCAATTTTTTTTTTTGAGTTTCCGCTAATCGTTTTTTGTAGTTTGGTTGCCTAATGAGGGAATGAGGCTAGTAGGCTGAACTACATTCAAACATTCCTCGATTTTTATCGAAAATTGTCAAAAATTTTTAAACCTAAGTTTTTGTTTTATTTTTTGATCAAAACGAGGATATTCTTTATCCATTGTGGTTTTGCGTTCTTTTCTTACTCATCTCAAAACAAGCCCCTCGAAGTTATCAGAAAAAAAGATTAAATGATATATATGCAAATTTTTGGAATGTTAATTAAAATTATGTGTGCACCCATTGCATTCATTGCTCAGCTTCCGTGTATGTCACCGAAATGGTAATGTATGCGAACCGGAATCGAGATTCTCATAATTTTTTTCTTCTCTGATGCTCTCCACAAAGTTTGTTGTTAATAGGTATGACTATCGACGAGAAAAACGAGATTTTTGGCGTTCAAAGCTGTTGTTGCAAAAACGAAGAAACAAATCAGAATTCAGCTCAAGTGGTGACGCTAGCGAAAGACACAAATTATACCAAAAGATTACGCTTCAATTCAGCTCAGGTTCTTATCCACTGATCACTCTTAACTTCCTCTCAACTTTTAGTTTGAAGTACTATCCCCAAAAAATAGATACCTTAATAACCGAAGTAAGTGGTGCACCGACACCAAATGCTTATCTCATTCTGGTAAGCGTACTTCAATATTCGATTTTGAATCGTGTATGTGTTGCAGGAGCTTTGGCTAATTTTCTTCGTCAATGGTATCGCCTGAGGAATAATGTTTGCGCCCATTGTGCAACACTATGTTACGCCGAAGATGCAAAGTTTACCTTTACAAACCACATAATAACAGAAGAATTTTGTCGGGCATGTTCTTCACACTTTTTTATTTCACATTTTCTTTGTTTCAGCGGTGTTTAACGAGGGCTCAAACAACTTGGGATGTAGGTGCAACCTTGAATAAAAAACATGATAGTGCCATGGTTTTGGCTATAAAAACGCAAGGAGTTGATGCATTGTGCCCATCACCCAGTATCTGTAAAAAAACATTGACTTGTATAATCGAACTCTTTTACTAACATTTGATAACTTTTCTTTTTCAGCTCCAGTTCATATGTGCACATGTTCCAATAATTCTTATTTGATAGTTAACTTGGAAAATGCCAAGGATTTACGTGTTTTCCGGGTAATTTAGGTGTTCAAGTTTATTAAGCCAATGTGTTTGTTCCAGAATATTAAAGAAGCCTGATGAGTCTTTCAGAAATAACCCCCTCCCACCCCAGAAGTTAATCATATTAGGATATTAATGTTTGATCTCAGTCTCTCTTTAATATGAGTGAATACTTTTTTTTATCGAAATAATGTGAAGAGCTAGGTGATTGTGAATGTCATTGTTATTGCTTGAATATTAACAACAATAAAATTTAATACATATAACTTTTCTGTGACTCTCCTTTTATGGATTTATAAAAGATACGGTGGCCCTAATTGCCGCGTGTTCTTTTGGTGCAATTGTGCGTGTGCACGAAAATGCTTAAACATAAGGCTAGCAAGGCTTGCTTGTCCTGCTGTTAATTTGCATAAACTTTGCTTGGTTCTTCAGCTTTTCCTGTCAAGTTTCAAGATGATTGAACTCTTCACCATATTTGGGAAAGGAGGTATCGTTTTGTGGTGCTTCCAAGTGAGTTTTATCTAATTTTGAAGTGATTTAATCGGATGTTTTGAAGGAAGGCGCTCAACTGTTCACAGAATCTGTTAATCGACTCATCAGCGATGTTTTGATGCAGGTAATACAGTTTTAACTTCTTCTTACTAATTAAGTTCAATTCAAGGAACGTGGAGATGTGACCCAGTTCAAAGACAACGGTATGACAATCAAGTTCAAGCTTGACAATGAATTCGAGCTTGTCTTCTTGGTATGTTTAATTACAAATGACAAAATTGACTGAATAATTCAGGTTGTTTATCAATCAATCGTTCAATTATCTTACACGGACAAACTCATCAATGATGTTTGTCAAAGATTCAGGGATTTGTACAAGAATGTTCTTCAAAATAAGCAGGTATTCCCCAATCGGCTGTTTCAATAGTTATCCCTCATTGCTCAGATTTTCTATCAACATGGCTCAAAATCTTTCCGTCATTTTGATGAAGAGTTTCAAAGGTAATTCATGAACACATTTGTGAACTATAATCTTATATTTCCAGTATCTTGAATGAGAATATGAGACAAAGCTTGAAAGCTAGTGAAACTGTAAAAAAGCCAAAAACATTCCAAGTAATCATTTTTCTTTTTCATTTTCGAAGCACAACCGGTTACGCCTGTTTGTTCTTTCAAATAATGATTTTCATTTCTGTTTCTTGTATCGCCCACGTCGTTTGATAACAAAGCTTATTTAGGAAAGTGCTAAGTCTCAAAAAACTGTCGAATCTCTTATTGTAAGTCGTCCTGGAGATGATAAGAAAAAGAAGAAGGAAGACAGTAAGAAAAAAGCGGAGGAACAGAAATCGTTTGTCAGTTCTTTGATACTTAGAACGCTTATCGTTGTAGGGAAACAGCCGAGTCCGGAAGTGATTATGGATCATCGGCTCCTGGCTCTCCAGAAGATGCTGAGATGAAACGGAAGCGTGATGCGCTGTTTAAAAAAATGCAGGGTGGCTCTAAAAAGGAACCAAAGTGAGTTACACTCCAAGAATGAATGTTTTTAAAATGAACTTCAGGTCTCCTGGCAAAGAAGAACCTAAGAAGAAAACAAAACAAGCTCGAGTCTGGGCTTTGAGCGGCCAAGCAGCAGATGCTCAATCATTGGATTTCTCTAGCGACAAGAACCAGGAAGTTCGTTTTAAGTTTCAATTTTTTTGCTTTGTAATTATTAACTTCTCTCATGGTCAAAATCTTCTAGGGAGGCGCTCGTGAGGAAGAGGAAGCGAAATTTGTTGAAGAGCAGCGTCGTTTCGTCGGCCAATCGGCTAATTTACACGACTTGGATGAGTCTGAGGATGAATCTGAGGAGGAAGAAGAGTAACTTGTTTACAAACTATTCCAAAAACAAATTAATTTTCAGAGTTGTCGCAGCTAAGGCCAATAGCGGAGGATGGTTCAGTGCCTTCAAAGATCTTGTTGGAAATAAAAAACTCGCAGCTGCTGATTTGGAATCTGTTCTAGAGAAAATGAAAGAAAATCTGATTTGTAAGTGAAAGGATGAAGTGTAGTATGAGATTCTCAAATTTAGTGAAAAACGTAGCCGCCGAGCCGGCTGATAAGATTTGTCAATCCGTCGGACGAAAGTTGGAAGGAAAAGTTATTAGTACATTCAGCCGTGTTAATACAGAAGTCAAGGAAGCAGTTCGGGAGTCATTGACTCAGGTGATTCACTTCTTCATATAATGTTTCATATTTTTGGTTTCTAGCTTCTAACCCCAAAACGACGTGTGGATATTCTTCGAGACGTGGTTGAAGCTAAACGAGAAAGTCGACCTTATGTCATTGTGTTTTGCGGAGTTAATGGAGTTGGGAAAAGTACAAACTTGGCAAAGGTTTTATTTCATTGTTCTTATTTTTATTAAAACGTTTGATAGATTACCTTCTGGCTCAATGAAAACGGTCATCGTGTCTTGATTGCTGCTGGTGATACTTTCCGTGCGGGAGCTGTAGAGCAGTTAAGAACACACACTAAGCACTTGAATAATCTGCATCCGAACTCTGTTCAAGTTTGATTTTTGAATTCGAACGTTCAGTTCAAAGATGATTTATAGCTTTATGAACAAGGTTACGGTAAAGATGCTGCTTCCTTGGCTGCTTCGGCTATGCTAATTGCTCAGGAACGAGGAATTGACGTGGTCCTTGTGGATACTGCCGGTCGTATGCAGGATAATGAACCGTTAATGAGAGAATTGGCTAAGGTTGGTTGTTTACCACTTCTTCTGTTCTGAATATCTTTTTATAGCTCATCAGGATAAACGAACCTGATTTGGTGCTGTTCGTGGGAGAAGCGCTTGTTGGTAACGAAGCGGTTGATCAGTTAGTCAAGTTCAATCAGGTATTCAGAAACTTCTTTCTAATTTTGGACTTTCTCTTTCAGGCACTAGCTGATAATGCCACACTGGGTAAAGAACCACGGTTGATTGATGGAATTGTTCTTACCAAATTTGACACCATAGATGATAAGGTTTGTTCACGCATGGTCTCTGAACAACATATCATCATTTCAGGTGGGAGCTGCAGTTTCTATGACATACATCACTGGACAGCCTATCGTATTTGTTGGATGTGGTCAAACGTATTCTGATCTCCGAAATCTAAATGCTGGTGCTGTCGTAAACGCTCTTCTGAAGTAATTCCTCTCATTGTTATTAATTATTTTGCTGGCGTAATTGGTTCTGGTTCTTCAGTTGTTAGTCAGGAGTAGTATTTCTATTTAATGCTTATTTATGTACACATATGGTCCTTTCTTTTGTGATACTTTTTTTGTGCTATATCTGTCTTCATACTTCTATTTATTCAATGGTTCTAATATTATTATTATTAAACATCTTTATTTTTCAATTGCGGCACTAAATGAAAAAGAAAACATGAAGACGCTTGAACCCTGAGGGAACGGATAATCCAACAATATGTTGTGTTTTTTCAAGAGTTGCCCGACAAACTGCGAAAGTTAACTTCATTTTCTCCATCAGTTTATAGTAATAGCTGGCTGTTCTGGTGATTGATTTGCATGTTCTTTGAGCGAGCCTCTCGACTCAAAAGGGCATGAATGAATGGAGGACGAACTCGACGACGGATGCTGAAAATTTTATCAAATTAGTTATTAGAGAGAAAACGTTTGAAGAACCTCTTCAGCTACGCTTTGATGCCGTTTTATTTTTGGTGAGAATGGCATCTGATGAAGACGTCGAGCTAAGCCGGCCACACCCTCAGAAGGTTCTGGTCTCATAGGACATGCCTGATGTGGCTCTTCTTGTTGATGATGAGGACCGTCTGAATCGGTTGACTCCTAAAAGCATGAGAGATTATTGAGGAACGAAATACATTTTTTACGTTATGTAGATGGCGGGTGGCATGATGAAGAACCGTTGATTGCTTTGGGAAAACAGCATGCTGTGTATTCCGGTTTTCTTCAAACCCTGCCCGTAACTAAAATAAATCCAGTCAACAAAATCGTTCGAAAATATGTTTAACTTACTTGATCAACTACGCAAGCTGTTAGAATTACCCATGCCTGACCTGCTCCAGGCAAGTCGCGAACGGCTTCTTGAGCGAGGACAACATCAATTATGACCTCTCCAAGTTTTTCCCAATATGTTCCTGTTAATCCATATGGCCGTAGAGATCCGTGAGCTCTCCCTGAAAAATGAAAATATTTTTGTTCTCTGCAAAAAAAAAAGCTCCAATAGCAACCTAGCTGCGTGAGTATTGAAGTAAAAATGACGCTTATACATTTGAATTGCTAATTACACGTACCTATCATACGTGGATCGAGCTCGGTCCCAGTGTCTGTCCTTTTGCTTTTTTCAACATCCAAATTCTTTATGACGTTATCGAACATTTTGACGGTTACCTTAAGCAATATTTGAAAACAATCTCAACACTCAGTTAGTACTTTAGCATGATCACGTAAAGAAGCCATCTCATTCCTCGACATTGCACACAAGAACATTCGAGTTGTGAACATATCCCTTATTTGTGGAAGATATCTAATCAAACGATCAAATACCTGAAAGTAAACTTATCTTTCGATTTTAAATTTAAGCTTTTACCTCTTCGAAAACATTTTCAACCCGTTTTCCGCCATTTCTTGTTTGAAGTCTGTGCCAGGTAAATCTGAGACCTCTTCGTTGTAGTTTGTTGAGCTTAGATTCGTAATCATAAGGCTTCATTGCTGATGTCGTAGCTCCATCTGATAATCAATACAAGGATTCATTAGGAAAATATCGAACTACCTTGTGTGATGGCATCACATAGACTTGGCATGCTGCTAGTTCTTCGTACAGTCGTCCCTTCGGCTGAAGAATCACCTGAGCCTCCTAGAGTCTTCTGACGAACAGCTTTCCGACTGCTGAAATGATTTCTCACATTTAACAAGTGCTCGATCATGCTCAGTCGCGGACTTGAAGAAGGCAGTCGTCCTCCGACAATTTTAGCCCTTATTTAGGCATTGTGGGAGTCTGCCTTCCTCGCCATTATTCTCTTCATCCTATGTTCACTGATTCACACAACAAAATATTTTCTCAATTTACGAGCTTTAACCTAATCTGGCAATTTGAAGTAGAGTTTCTTCGCATCAAAAGATTGAAAAAACGTGAAGAGGATTAAATATGTAAAGTGTAAGATATAAAAGAGAAAAGGACATCTGTATTCTTCGAACAAATTATCAGAACCAATAGGATAGGCCTACACTCTTTCAATATAATTTTATAAAATATTAATTGATGTTCCGAGCGAGTGCATTCCGTTGTTTTTGAGGAGCTTCTCGAAATAATTGAAGAAACATACTAAATCTAAGAAAGCACTCATGAGACAGGAACTATTGTCTCGGAAGTTTAGATAGATTTCTGTCAATACCTGTTACACTTCTTACTGGAGCGAGACTTGCTGATGGCTCTCAAGCTGGCTGTGAATCGGTTATTACGCTTCATGTTAATCATACTGATCTGGATATTGAGATTCTAGCTCACACGAAAGACTCACGTCAATATATCTAGGAAATATAGACAAAAATTAAAATTTCTGAGAAAAAAGTTTGAATAAGCGTGGTGATCACTCGTTTTTTCAGTTACGAGCTTGAGGAGGTAGTCGGCACCCGCGAGCTTTCGCAAAAAAATGAACAAAGAAGAGAAGAAAACGGAAAACCCGTGAAGGATCGGGAGTTTACAAAACATAAAAGAGAAAAACAGAGTGAAACTCGGTTATTTATAGAGAAAAGGGGGTGTAAAAGGAAGAATTTGACAAGTAGATGTCTGCTTTTTCACAAAATGATCAATTTGATTGGACATCTATCTATCAGCTATATAAGGATATTACTTATACATCACGTCAATGGCAACTCCAATTCTTTCTTTTCTTCTCATTTGGAATATAATCTTGCCAAAAGGGACAAATTGAAACTTCAATTGGTGAAGAAGCTCGAAAGGAAGTTATGGTTTTACGACAACATGATAAGATGGCAAAAAAGATAATTTGCGGAAAAGATACATTCGAAATGTTGTGAGTGCAAGACATTCAGAGTGTTCTTCTATCTCATCTAGCATATCACGTTCCAAGTTATATTTTGAGTGGCAAAAAAACGTCTCATAAATAGAACCAAAAACTGGTCGTTTTTTTTTGTGTGGAAAATGTTAATCTGGAAGCTGAATTTAGACAGCCACACAATGACAATTACAAGCAAGACTATGAAAAGAAAGTTTTTGGGAAAGGGAAAAACAGAAAAATTCGAAAAAAAAATTAAAAACGAAAATGTTTTGTTTTATTTATGTCCGAGATTAATTAATATAATCCTCTAACAGGGAAGAAGAAAATAATACAAAAAATGAGGATTCGATAATTTCTTGCACATAAAAACATTCACAAAACAAGAGAACCAGAATCCGGAACGGAAAAGGAACTTTCTTGTTTTGAATTCAACTCGTAATGGAGTGAGATTAACTGAACATTTTTTTTTTCGAATGCCTTTCCAGTGTTTGATACGAAAATAGAGTTGTCAAGGGTTCAAATAATTACTCGCAACGTGCATATAATGCTTCTGTAGAGGGAGAAATCACACGCTGAGCTAGGAATGAGATTGAAATTACAAGAGAATAGTTTGGGAAAGAATTGGTCTGGGGAAGAAAATAACATTCAAAGATTAACAGAAACTTCTGAGTTTATCTTCCTTTCTCAGTCTCTCTCTTCTCTCTATTCGTTTCTCTCTATCTTAGTCTCTCCCTCTTTCTCTCTCTGGCCCTCTTTCGCAGCCTCTATCTATTTGTCTCGTTTCCATTTTTTAAATTATAGACGATGGTTTTGTGCGAAGAACTTTGGCGAAGAAATTTCCTTGTTTGCAAGTAAAAAGAGAACTGGGTTTCATTCACACCAGAACAATCAGAAGGTTTGCTCCAGAATCAAAAAAACTTTGCAAAAAACATCAAAAACTGTGAAAAGGTTTTGGAAATTAGCATATAAGAATGCAATTGATAAGTATTGAGTTAAGAAACCGAACATCTGGAGACGAAATAAAGATTAAAAGTGCTTTTCACATTAAATCTTATTGGATGTTGGATGGATTGAACGATGACAAAGCGATAAAAACCTTCATCTTCTCAAATTATGGACGATAACATTTCAAACTTTCCCATTGTTTTCTTCGTTTTGAGCTTACCATTTTCGATTACGAGGGACACTCGTTCCTGGCTGTTCATCCATTTCCACTTCTTCATACGAACTTGGACTGCTTTTCCTCTGACGAGCTAGTCGACGGGAAACCTCCAAAATTACTTTTTAGTTTCAATCATTTTTAAAAACGTTTTCCCACGTTGTGTATACGTGGTAGCTAACACATGCAAGAGCGGACAAAACGAATTTCACTTTAAATTTTTTAATGAAATGAACGGTTGTGTCATACCTGCTGCAGAGTCTGAGCAGCTTCCAAAGCAGCAGCTTCTCCTTTCTCCTGTTGCTCCAGCTCATGTAAAAGCCTGCGTCCTCTTACTATCTTCGCTATGAGAAACATTTCAGTATTCTTTCTGTAAAGTATTTTTAAAGGATAGAACGTAACTAAAGAAGTAAAAGGAAAAAAGAGAAGTGATTAAGCTGAGAAGCTTGAGAAGGAAATGAATTTCCTATAAGGCAAATATGTAAATAAACCTACTAAGGAGAGAAGAGCCAAACCTAGAGAGGAATAAGTCAAGCAAAGAAGAAAAAAAAATACAAAATCTCCTCAAGTACAAATGCAATTTCAAAATTTGTAGGAAAATTGCGAATAAAAAAGTTCGAGCAAGAAATACAAAACGAATGCTTTGCGGCTGGTTCTTTATGAAATAAGAGAAAGTTTCAATGGATAAATAGAAGGCGATTATAAGAGATTTCATATGTTTTTCCTATTTTTACATAAAAATTATCCTTTTATGGACAACACACTTCAATTTACTTAAAAGGTATAAACAATTTAAAAGATTTATCGTTTGGGAATACCTGAAACAATTCCCTTGATATTCTTCTCTTCCTTTCTTTCACTCACATTCTAATAAGCATTCCCATCTCACTCTCGGCACACTCTTATATACTTTAAGCTAGGACTCATCTCTACCTATTCCTAGAACGCTGATGAAGGTGTAGCCCCTTTTCCTTTTATAGATTTTCTCACTATGCCTTCCTCTCTGTCTCATTCATCTTGTTCAAAGTATATTCAAAAATATCACTCGGAAGCGTTAATAAGGACTCAGAAGCAAAGGTCGAAAAGAGAAAGCGCTGCTTGAAAGCAAACGTTAAAGCAATAAAAGAGTTCCTTCTATCAAAGTTACAACAATACGATATACTAAAATGAAATAAAGCTGTCATCTCAGTCTCATGCTATGAGTTATGTGAGCCAATGAGTTATTTGATTGGGCTAAGTAAGATGGGAGAAGAAAGTCTCAGGTGGAAAGCAAACTTTATCGAAAAACTTGAAATAAAAGAGCAAAAACGAAAACATGTGTAAGAAATATAAACTCACAGGCAATCATCTCATTAGATCTCTATTGGAAGCTTCTTCTAGCTTTTCATTTTCTTTTCTCCCACCCCCAATTCGTTCATTTTCTCATCTGCTCTCTTCAAATGTTATTATGTTTTTTTCTTTTCTTTTCCTCCTCATTCTACCTTTTATAGAAACAGACAACTAAATAAGACAAACGTCATTTTAAACATCTTCTGATTTCTTTCTACCAATTTTCACGAATTCATCGAAATTCTAGAATGATTAAGCTATTGACAACTTCATCACAACAATTCTCATTTCTAGAAGTTCTACTCTAAAAAAGGCGAAGAATTAGCAAAAGCTAGACTTTCAGGACAGAGGCTGTTAAGCGGCTTTCTTTCTCTCCTTCTTCCATGACAGTTTTTATACTTTCTACCCCCATAACAATGCGTGCAAAAATGAAATCATCCATGAGATTCGGATTTGCTCACAAATCCACGCAAACATTATCGTTTACGTCGGCTTCATCAAGATCATCAATGGCTTTTTAGCTTCAGATGTCGTGATGAAGCTGACTTGCTGCACATCTAACCGGTCCGGTTTGTGCCGTAATTTGTAGTCCATTAGAGAGAATGAAAGAAGCTTTTTCAACTGACTAACATGACTTACGACAACAGCCAACAGCCTGTCCAGTCAGTCAGATGGAAAGTTGCCCATTGATGTTCAAAACCTTTTATGGTTTTCAATGGCAAAGTTCTCTTTTTTTGTCTTCTCCATCTTCTCACGGGGTTCATGCAAATGATTGCAAAACATATGAAGCAATTAATCTAATATTAATGAACAAAACATACAGAATGTTCCTTTTATTTATAATTTTTCCATAAAATGAATTCTTCTTCCATTTTTGTCTTGGAGTTTTGGGTTAGACAGGAGGACGATGGGAAAGCAAAAGTATTTAGTCTACACGTACATTCGTTCCTATTTTGACGTGAAATTGACGTGAAATCTTCATTCTAGTCAGAGGAGAAGCACAGAGCGGTTGTTCCCATCTCCCCACTTTGGGAACACTGATGAAGTATAATACATAGAAGCTATTACAATAAAATGAAAAAGAATATTATATTATTCTTCTTCTGAACTTTGCGAAGCAGAGAAACAAATGTTTGATTCTCACAGATACGATGAATATGAACAGAGGTCATCCACATGTTAAAAGGTTTAAATTTCACTCTTAAAAGAACATTGGAAGGAACAGAACGCATGATAAGGAGAGAGAAGAATGAGAAAAAGGGAATCAAATAGAAAGGAGGGGGAGAGCTTGAAAGCGGACACGTTGCAGGACAAAGTGAGATTAAAGTTGAAAATGCTTGAGAGCCTGACGGGAAGTTCATGCTGGGTCAGAAGTTTTTGCTTTTTAAGGAAGTAACTTGGAGGAGGAAAGAGGGAAAGTGAATAAAATAAAGTAAAATATCTGCAATGAAATTTGTGGTTACTTAAATTGGAGTTTTTGAGCGAATTTGAAAATGAGAAATTTTCCTCTTCCCTAGGAGGTTATGAAACGTTTGAAGGCCGGAAAAAGCTCTTTATATGGTTATGGTCAATATCAATTAAGTTAGTTCAAAGCTCGTTTTGGGGGAAATAATAATTTTTTTCTGTCTTTGACCGACCGGCTGAGACAGAAAGACAGAAATTTTTAAAAATAAAAAGAAAAATACAAAAAGAAGGAACATGCAGCGGACGTCATTTGGCTATTTTCAATGAAAAGTGGAAGTAGCGAACTACTCTCCTTCTCCCTCTCTATTGCCCTCCCTTTCTTTTCTATTTTCTCTCTCAGTAGATGGAACCTTTGATGGTTATTTCCATTAGAAGAAATATTTCTTGAACTCCATCCATGTTCCTGTCAACTCAAGGGTGGTCATAGAAATATCACAGAGAGATAAAAGAAAAATGCGCTACAATATTTGAGACAACAAAGGATGTGAGCAAGGTAAGTTATCTGGGAACTGAAAAACATTCAAAAATAAGTGGCGGATAGAATGAGAATGAAGGTAATTGAATACTTCTGTAGATTAAGCTAGAAGAGGTTTTCATAATTTAAATATTTTTAAAAACCAGATAACAATGGAGCTCTAACTTTCTTTTCTTCCTTATTTTTCTCTTCTCAACTCTTCACTATACCAAAGGTGATCGGTGAAGTAGAAAATATGTTCCAAGAATGGCTGATGGATATACTCAAACAAAGGAAATAGGGGAAAAGGTTTTGTAGAGAGGCAAAGAAGCTCTTCCTCACGTGGAATTTGCCAGTCAAAACGGCTCGATGCCCTCTAGCAATATGAGAAGCTTATGTTTCACTTACAAGTCGAAACAATTTTTGATCAGAAAAAGTTTTTTTTTGCAACTTTTTTCGGTCTAAATAACAATTTCTTGAAGTTATATTTTATGGAATTTCCTGGTCTTTCCTTAATCAATGGATATTTCCGAAAAAAAAGCGTCGTTGTAAATAGAAGGAAACTTGTAACAAAACTCTTTGTTTAGAAATACAATCTGTTTGTTATTCTGCATGTAAATTAGACAAAAAAAGAGACACCAGTCATTAAATTTCATGAGGAAACGTTTCAAAATATCATTTATTATCTATTCATTTCTATTTCCTTAATAAAATTCTGAAAAATAATCAAACAGGGAGTAAATGAACAGTAGAAAAACTATTTGCTACTATCTCATGACTGCTTGGCGCAATGGTAGCGCGTTCGACTCCAGATCGAAAGGTTGGGCGTTCGATCCGCTCAGTGGTCAAAACTTTTGTAATCGAACCAACTGTTCAGGACACTTGGATGCAGAGAAGGACTAATACGAATCATGATTTTGTGAATAACAAGTCGGGTGTTTCCTGGAAATCGACCTGTTTTCATCAAAAAGCGGAAACTCTATGGCACTTTCTTAATATTTCATGTCTGACTCACTTTCGCATCCCAAAAAACGGCCAAGTGACCTGTGGTTACGGAAAATTACTTGTACTTTACTCTTAAACTTGGTGTTGTGAACCAAGTCATGCGCAGAGTGTTTTAGGAAACGCCTCAAGCTCTGATCTTCGTTTTAGTTATTTTGGATTTCGGAGATCGTAGCTCATAAGTGAATGTTTGGTAACACCTCAGTTCCCTGGAAGTGTGACCCGTTCGAGGTAAGTGTGAGACAGGACGACTGCCTATTTAGATTCCACTTCCTTGCAATTTCAATTACTAAGAACTCATTAGCGAATATTATTTTTTCGTTAATGAAGATCGGAAGCTCAATTGGGATAACGCTAGCCTGTGGTTATTTTCTCCGCTTCCTCATCGTAAATTCTTTGTTTCAGGTGTTAGCAATATTCTAAAATTCAAAGAAAGTGTTTACTTCAACTTCTTCATCTGGTAGTTTGAGAATACAACTGTTAGATAGTAAAGCCATTTACTGATTTCAATCAAAATAATATGTCTTTGGATGTCAGAAATTCCTGCTGAACAGAAGAAAAAATTAATTTTTCATCACTTTTCTTATCTATTATATCTAAGCACTTGGAAATCAACATGTCGGTTGATGCCCGCATATCAGTTTTCATTCCATTGTGTTCTCGATCTATCACATAGTTAAGATTTATTATTATCTCAAAACATATTTCGTTTGAATAAAAAAATATAAATATATAAGGAATTAGTAAGAACCATACGAGATCATGTACAGAAAGCATATGACACATTTCAAATAACGAATAAGTGTTAGTACCGGTAATGGGGAGAAGATAGTTATGTTATAACGGAGGTAGATCGTATAAGTTTTTTTTATGATTTGGTATTGGACAATCTCCTAAATTAATTTGGCTTAGAGTATTCAATGTAGGCTTCGTTTTTCGATCTGGCACTGGTGGTCTTGGTAGCGTCTAAAAGGGGCTGATATATAAAAAGAAAAAGATTGAAAACCACCTTTGACAATCTATCGTCATCAACAATTTTCTTAGGAATTCGGAGAGTTCTGGATGACTCATCGAATGATTCCAAAAAGTCTTCCATCGACTTGCTTTGAACGATCAGGGCTATCGGCTTACTTATCTCACGTTTCTTATCAACTTTATCAAAGCGAACATTTTCCAGTTGTGTTTTTAAGACTGGTGAAGGAAGTGACAAATTCGGATTAATCACGGGTAATCTGACTGAAAGCAGAAAAATAACTTTTTCGTAACAAACATCGTTTCCAACAGTTTTCAATCTCAAATTTGGGGTTCTTGACAGGATTCATCTTCACATATTCAGAATTAAAAATATCGTTTGAATGAGAGACAGGTATTGGCGTGTCCAGTGTGATAATGGGGGGTCGTTTAGGTGCCTGTCTAACGGGTGCTGAAACAGACCGTAAGAATTCATACACTATATCTATTTATACCTAACGAAGGTAGTTGAGTATTAGTCAGAATAGTTATTTCAGTGTCTGTTCGCAGTTTTGGTAGTGCTTGCATTTTTTCTCTGCAATACATGAAAAATGAATGAAAGCCGTTTGAAAGCACACTCACATTAAAGGAGAATTTTGATCTTTCTGCCTAGGACAAGAAATTCTTCTGTAATACAATGAAGTGAAGCGTGCACATAACTTAAAACCCACTTGATGATAATTAATACAGAAAATATGAACGCAGCACAGCCAAATGTAAACGTTGAATATAAATATTTTCGGTCGACAACAAAACGACATGAGCGAACGTCACAGAATATATTGACACATTGGCTGAAAAAAAAAATTTTATAATTAATCTTATCGATTCATATTATTTAATTATAGGTAATTATATTTATAATCTTACCCTTCTAAGCCGCAATCACAGTCTTCTTCATCCTCAACTACCCCATTACCACAAATTGACATTGTTGTTCGAGGTAAAGGATCTTTTGGATAAGATAGACAACTAGCTTGAGGTAAAAGATTCACTAATGCTTGAGCACTACAATCCTTCTCGAAACCACTAAAATAATTCTATCAGATACCGTTTTCCGTTTAATAAGATTATTCAACCGTTTGCTAACATTTTGAATAATAAATGAAATTGCACATTAACACGTGGCATCCACGTGAACTATTAGCGAACTTTGCACGTGAATGTCACGTGGACATGTTCGTTGCTCTCTTTTTACAAAATTTCGACAACTCACTCGATCCGTAAACAATTCTTCTTATTTTTTTTTGAACAAACACAATCGGTTGTCATATCATGCGATAAACCAATCAAATGAGCAAGTTCATGAAAGAATACGGATGCATACTCATATGGAGCCTCCGGGAAAAACTGGAAGATCGAAAATTGGATAAATAAAAACAGAACGAGAGTACTCCGCATAGTCCTACGGAAGTTCTTTTACAAATTCCATCAACATAAGCAATACCGCCTTCATAACGATGTCTAATAAGCATTGCAACATCATGCGATGTCTGAGACGTAGAATGATAAGGAAAAACAACCGGAAGTTTGTTACCAAATCAGTAGTGTCCTGTCTCCATTCAAGGAACTGCTCCAAACTAACGTTATATCCTCTAACTGGCACAATATCAACGACTATTATATGAATGTTGAGTTTATGAGCATACTGTATATTCATATAATGAAATCTTCTAATTAAAAGTATAATTACCATATTAACAGCATGCATGAGAGATGTTAAAGCTGATACGACTTTGTCTTGATCATGACCGTAATATCTTAACTTAATTAAAGATTATTCATAATAATTAGTTTCTGAGAAATGAATTACCACTGCGGCATCAACTGCCAGCAATAGCTCGATGTAGAAATGATTGGGCGCATTGATGTCCGACCAGTCAGGTAAAGATGAAGTCGAACGAAAAGCTGATCGTTCGTCATCTTTTCTTGGTGGTTCAATCTTCGAAAAACCAAAGTAAGAAGATTAATAACCAATTACTTACTTTATCATGAACTATTTGTGATAATTGAAAAGAATAATTGAATAAACTAAATAAGATTAGAGCTATATAGTTCATAGATAAATCTAAAAAATATCTTTTCAAGCAATCAATAGTGAGAGAGAAAGACGTGTTGAGAGAGTAAGAAAGAGCAAGAGAAGACGAGAGTGAAAGCCACAGAGAGAAAAACGCTCTTTAAAGTTAAGAGGAAAATCTTAAGAGACTGTCAAACATCAATTTGAGGATGGAAATGAGAAGAACAGTCCATCTCCATAGTTCATCTTGTGATTTGGGTCAGCCAAAGACATCAGGGCAAACCAGTTGATGACACATCGTCTTCATTTCTCTTTTTTAGTCCTTCTTAGGAAATAGCTTAAGGAGAAAGAGAGAAAAAAAAGGAAAAAGTATTAATCTTAACTATACCATTCAGGCTTAATCCAATTTTCAAGTCTATTGTTACGTTTCGCTGATTGTAAGTGACTGTTCCACATTCACGAGATTATCGTCTGAGATTATCAGGCTATACTGCACTTTCCTTTTTTTTACAACTTATATAAGGAAAAAAAAATATTCTTCTCAATTTCAAGCCCCAAGGTCAAAATACTGTATACATTGATAAATTACAAAAATGGTTAAGATATTATCTCTGACAAGATGCCAATTAGGAGACGTTTCTGATGATTGTCAGCTTCGCCATGAAGATAACCTTCAATAACATTTCAAATTTATTAACTTATTCATAAATATAATTAAAATATAGATTTAGACGTTCTCGATGCCGTACTCACGGATATGATTGTTGGTTCTAACTTTACAAAAGAGTGACCAAAAAAAATTTGTCGCATAAATATTCGTCGGTATTCCATGCTTCTCCAGAAGTACACATAGAAGTTACAGGAGTATGAGATGAGACCTTGAATTTCTCTGCAGGTTATTTTTAGGTTGTGTATTGTACTACCTGGAATAACAGCTAGAAATTCAGCGTCCGTGGCAGCTTCCTCACTCCACATACGAACAAACATTATAATGGAAGCTGATAGGACGGAAGAGAAGAAGAACACAATCTAAAAAAACATAAGGAATGAGCTGCAGCATTGTAAACCTTCTCTTACAACTTGAACTATTAGCGTACTTAAAATGACTTTATGTTTTCTCGACTGTTTTTCGTCATCTCGAAAAGGATCTGAAAATGATGATATTATAATTAGCAGTATAAGTATTAGTACTGAAAAAATATAATTTGGCGTAAGTGACAATGTATAAGACAGTAGTGAAGATGGCACCCCACATATTGTATTTGTTCCACCATTCCGAAACTTTATAAGGCATAGCTAATGGTAGCACGCATAACTCAACTTTCGTATTAGTCAAGTAAAAATAACTAATAATCTGTAAGACATTATGTTATTCTAGTCCACATCCCTAAGTGAATACCACAAATAGCAACCCGAATAGTATTCCAGGTGAGATCATCATCAACAGATATTTTTTGAGTTTCCAAGTTCGATATCTGCACACAGCACTGAGACTAATCAAGTAATGTGAGAAACTCACTCGAATGGACAGGAGATAGCCAAAATACGATCAATCCCTATAGCCAGTATCACATATACTTCAAGAGGTTCGATAAAAATATAAAAAATGTTTGCCCAAAAACAATTTTTTAATTTTGTTTCATATATTTCAAAAGTTAAGCGAAAATACGATTGAAGCTCATTCCAAAGGCACATCAGATCACAGAAAGCTAGGAAAGCCAGCAAAATTCCTAAGAAAAGGAGATAGGATTGAAAGAAACAAAATAGAATTTCTTTTCAACGTACCACATTTCTGACGTAATTCTTTATTTTTCAGCGTTGCAAGGATGATGTTGAGATTTCCAAAAGTTCCAAGAATATTAAAGATGACCAAGCTATTTTTGACGATTGCAAGAGATATATCGGACATTCTGCAAAATATTTTTTTTCTCGTTAGAATATTTAGAAAAATTCATTTGCTCGAAAGATATCAAAAGAAATACTCTGTCGCTCTCTCACTCAACCAATCCGGAAATTTTGCTTCACATCGAAACTTCAGAGCAAATCTCATTAATAGCGTATTTCATGGGCAAGATTTGAGGTCTAGTGAGGTAGTCAAATGGTTTTTTGCTTGACAAAAGTAAAAAAGGAAAAAAGGATGTTAATTCTGATTAAAACTTAATTATTCCACTTGAATAACTTATTCTAATTCTAGAGAATTAACAAATAAACGAGAACTCATTGAGTCTTATGAAGAGTTGTATGCATCTAATAGGAAATGATCTTTGACTGCTCCTGCTAACCAACTCTATGAGCATAATGCACAACCGCTAACTCAAGGAAAAAAACAAGAAAAAATGCTGGAGTGCAACCGCCCACCGGCAATGAAACATAACAAAAGCCAAGAAGCATGTGCACAACCGCAAAATAGTCGAGAAATGACAAATGAAATCAAAATTCTATAGACAACCGCAAATGGAGTGAAGAACTACAGAAGAAATGGGAAAAAAATAGACCGCCAAGTGAAGTGTTAAGTACGAAATGAAGGAGAGCGAATAAGAAGTTCATAGCGAGAACAGTGAAACCTCTAATAGTAGACCAACACGTTATTGGTCGAGCAATACGGAGAAGAAAAGAATATTTAAATGGTGGAAAATTAAATTGCCTTTCATGAAATTATGGCAAAATCGTAAAAACTTTTTTCTCCGAAATGAACGATCAGAGATAGGAAGGACAGATGTTTGAGTATACGCAAACAGTTAAGTATAAAAAACATTTATAAACAAAAAAATGTTATCACAGAAAGAAGAAATATATAATATATAATATGTATGGAGGTAATTTTGAAAATTATATTTGTGTATGAACATCTTGCTTACAAACAACTTCAGATGAAGTGAAAATTTGTGATTGACGAATTATTTGATCTATATCAATTTCTGTTAAAAGCTCATCACTTCTTTGTATTGGAGCTAAGAGTGAACCGGGAATTGTTGTACCATCATAGTAATCATATTCAAGCTCATCAGAAGTTGATAAGCTAGACATGCCGCGTGGTAGGGGCGAGTCAGCAGATGGGCATGTTCGCGTTAGCCTGAAATATTTGAATGTATTCACTTGAAATCTATGATCGTCTGGGTGAAAACTGAAAACACACTCGAAGGTATCAAAGCCAAAAAAATAGAAAATCTAATAATATAATCGATCTATTTTTCATGCATTGTTAAGAACCGAAAAAAATACAAATAAAGGCCATTTTTACCTGCCTTTGGCTTGTTGATCACTAAAATTCATTGAAATATTTTAAATTATATGAAAGTTTAATGTAATTTGTAATGAATCATCATAAATCACTACATTGCGAACTAACTCCCTCTTATAAATATGAAAATGCAATAACCTGGGTGTGTTTTGCACGCTCAATTGAATCCCAATACTTCTTCTGGCGATAAATTCTTTTCCTCCAGAACTTACGTGAGTACATTCAGTATTACCTGATCGTATCATTTCATTCTCATATCTATAATTAAGTTGTTTAGTAATATAACTGTAAGAATAATGGACTTTTGGTCTATTAAAGGCAATTCCGGGCTGCTATTACGTCGAATTCGTTGAGTTATACCAGCACAAATAAATGGAGGGATAAATATGATTAAAAGAAACAAAATGCCCATAAGTGATATGATTACTGTCTCCGGACATACCGGATGGCAAGCTAATGATGGCCTTGCCGGTAGTTGAATTGGTTGTTCAGGTCCTGCAACGAATACATCTTTAGCTCGTATGATGAATAGCTCTATTTACCTCGAACAGTATAAATTACAGTGAAACCTTTGTGTTTACGGAAGTCTGATCGAGATGAATTTGGTTTGCTCCATAACACGATGTATATAGATTCATGTGTTCTTAATGTAAAATCTGGCTCATGGTTCGATCCCGAGAACCAAACTAATTCCTATAGAAAAAAAGCTTTCATTTTCTTTCCGTTCTGCGAAAACAAACTCCATAAGGCTTCCGAAGAAAAAAAAACAATTTTCCTTCAGCTTCTTCATCTTGCTGGATGGATATATCAATAACAGTGCGTCCATTGTGTGGAATAAAGTACCATGTTTGGTTTCCAAAGCACTTATCATGTACACTCAAATAACCATATAATGCACATCTGCCTCATTTGCATATTTCCTACCTGGCAGTTGCGAAAAACGAGCCAGCCTCTCCATTTAATTCACACCCACAACTACAATTTGATGTGTGTAGTCGATAGTTTGCAGCTACTGCAACTTTATGAATGAAATACAGCATGAGTTGGAAAACTTACAAGGACATTTCTTCTCTAAACAGTCCCGTGTTTCCATTACGTCACCTACACAGCTTTTGCCTCTTATCGGCACTGGATTATCACATGTTCTCGATCTGAAACATTACCCTCAACAATCAGACATCAGCAGATCGTTTTACCTTCGAGCTTTCCCTGAACCGCAAGTTGCAGAACAAGCTGACCAATCCGACCATTCCGACCAGCCGCCGTTTTGACGTAAAACTGAAAATTAGTATGAAAATTAAAGAACAATCCCTTGTAACAGATTAGTGTTTAATAGAAATTTCTAATTATTCCAGGAAAGAATAGATTGTTTAGAACATCTTCTTTTCTTAAGAAGGAATGAGAGATAGGAAGGAGGAAGAGATAGAAAGATAGGGAACGAAGAGCATGGAGGGGGGGGGGGTGGCTGTGTTGTGGAAGGAAATCTTTCTATCGGCTTAAATCTCTTAATTACATAGTATTCCGTAATTGAGCATAGAGAGAGAGAGAGAGAAAGAGAGCAAACAAAGAAGGATAACTGCCTTAACGGAGAAAATTGAAATTGAATCCCCCCCCCCCTCCCTCTTTGACTTATAGAAAGCATGTGTCATTTACCTTGTTTACAAAGTACAAAATTAGCTATACACGTATAGTTACATATGGTTCAATTAAGTATTCTGCTCATCTGCTTTTAGCCCTTTGCTACTAATAATAAACAATTAGCTTTTTTTAAAAAAGGTCAGCTTTTTGTTCATAAAAATCTTTTGTAAAATGAACAAAACACATTTAGTTAATGAATTTTAACTATATGAGTGCCATCTGCTTTAACATTTTCAATATTTCAATTAGTATTAAAAGCTTCGAATGACAGATTGCAGACAACTTTTCAATAACTAAACGATGACACTTGTATGCAATTTCTTCTTTTTCCTTTTTTTTTTTATTTTTATTTTCTTCATTCACTACATTATCTTAAATGGAGTGATATGCTTCACTTCCATTCTATTCAGATACATGTGCAGCATAAGCATTATGAGTTCCCTCTCTCTAACACCCCTCATGAACAGAAGCAGATGTTAAACTGCCTTCCTCATCTACGTAGGAGGTCAAGTGAAGCCACCCTATGCTCATTCAGGAGCCCGTTTCACCGTTAAACAACTGTGGAATTGGAAACAATAACACATAAAAATTGGATAAGAGTATAGGAAATAGATACAGAGAGAACGAGAAAGAGAGAGAGAGAGAGAGAGAGAGAGGGTGGAAGAAGGATGAGCCACAACCGTTCATTGCGCGTGTGCAAAGTGCAATATGGAGCAATACCATGTTCACGTGAAAAAAAAACACGTGTATGCTAATTTTCGTTAATTAGCGGCATTCTTCATACAAACAAGCTGTTTGGTAAAAAAAAATAGAAGCTAAATAGAATTAATAACAATTGGGAATTGTTTGAGTAAAAAGGCGATTGTTAGGTCAAATAGCTAATCTAATTAATATGATCATCCAAACACGTGTCTCTTCATATAAGCAAAGCTGAATAAAGAAAGAAACAGCTGCTAATCGGATAAAGGTGAGAAACAAAAAAAAATCATGGCGGCTTCTTCTTTATTTATTAATTTGGAAACGAACTTTAAGAATATGCTCATATTGCTATTAAGATTTCTATAATAGATTATAATATATTGTCTAACTATGCCAATGAGTTTAGTCGTCGTCATTGACCATATGTGGTCAGAACAAAAAGGAAAAGCGCTTGAGGCAAAATTGAATATATAAGGGAATATGATGGTTATTAGAATAAGGCATGACTAATGAAGCTTTGTGTTGAGTTTGATGTTTATACATTTTGACAGAAAGGATTTCATTAATTAGTTAACTTATACTTAACTATACGAAAGATTTCTGTCAAAAACATTTCTCTCTCTCTCTTTCGTATTGTATGCATTACATTCTCTCTTTCTTTCTCTCTCTATGCATCTCTCTCTCTCTCTATCTGTCTCATTCTCTCTGTAAAGGAAATAGACATCTTCAGATGGATGGATATGTCATACAAAATGACAGAAAGGCTGGTAGAATTTGAGTTGAAAATGAGCTTTGTTGGTTTTAGAGAGAAGTAAAGCTTAAAAGCTTTAATTACCTGGTTCAGTACTGACGCAACTAGATTTCCATAATTGAAATGTTGAAGAATTTCGATTGATTGAAACAAGTTCAAAACAGTATTTATCATAAATGATATCGAAATGTGAGCAACTGATGGAGATTGATTTTTGCTCTTTCGTTACGCCAACCTCTTCTGTAAAGATAGATGATGAGTTAAGAAGAAGTAAAAGAAGAAGGGAAAAGTACCAATGTAATGAACGCGATCCTCATGGTCATCTGAACCTTCGGGAACAGCAAAAATGCGTATTCGATAGTGCAAATTATCCAAAGGACATTTGGAGATAGCCCATGAAATATCAAATTGTGATGAGCAATGAGGGAAAATGCTATCATTGCGAAGAGACAGAGAATATTCAGTAGTATGATTAACTAAAAATGATTGACCCTGCAAATAATAATTTAAAAATTTTTAATTAAAAAAATGAAAAAAAAAAGAGGAAGAAGAAGAGAAATGAGAACTTACAGTAACGGAATAGTTGTTTTGTGATAATAGAACAACTTGATAGTACCCAATATCAGCGAAGGCTTGGCATGGAAATATGAATGATTCTGCTCCTTTATGTAATGTTATGGAAGATGAAGATGTCGTATGCCATGCTACTTCTTCGCCTGGGGCAGTCTATATTAAATTTATGTGAAATAATGTTTAAAAATCAAAAATACTTCTAATGGACGTCGTTGTAAACGAATTTCAAATAGTTCCGCTTGACATAGCTTCGATGTAAAATGAACGACAAGCTCTTGAAGAAGCTCGTGATTAGACGGTGTTCGAACTAAGATTTCTGGAGGAACAACAGAAAAGTTTGTTAAAATAGTTCCGTGTTCTTCGAGCCAATATTGATCCGAAACCTAAGAGATATTTCCGCATTAATGAATGAAGAATATAATCTTAAAATACTTTTTTTATACATTCACATGGGATGACTGAAGCTTTGAAGCGACAACTAGATTGATTTCCTAGATGAATACTATACGACGAGACATTATTTGATCTCAGATAAGCCTTAATTTTAATTGTTTCAAATACATTTGAGCTTCAAGAAACTACCTGAGAGTTTGCTGCTGGCGTGCTGGGAATAAGGAGTGACTGAGATTGAATAAGGCGATGTGAGCTGACCACCGAAGCCAAGATAAACAATAAAATAATCATCTAAGCGTCATGAACAGGCTGAAATGAAAAAAAATGAAATGGAGAAGCATAGCACATAGTGAAGAGGATGCAAAAAAAAAGAAAAAGAGACACTTAATAATCAAAATCAATTTTTGAGAGTAATAGAATTCATATGGTATAGAACTAAACGAGTAAAGCTCATAAAGAGCAAAAAGAGAGATAGTAAGAGAGAGAGAGGAAGATGAAGAGTATAAGGAAAAAAGGAGGGAGGGGCACAAACGAGCAAATTCACTATGGCTTGTCAACTTTTATGATGCTTTAGAAATTGAATTTTGTGAGAGAACAAGTAACAAATACACAAATAAGGGCAGAAAGACACAAGTTCTAAAAAACTTTTAATTGAATCAAGAAAAATTCGAAAATTCCTAATTTGGCACCTTTCAATTCATGAAAAATGGTTGAAGAGTTAAAAGAAAGCGGGAAACAATCGGTGAGAAAGAGGAAAGAGAAGAAACAACCGCTCAATGCGTCAGCTTGCAGGCAAATGAGCCTCTGCCCCCCCTTTACGTGTTCACGCTTTTTCCACGTTTATGCAAATTATATCGAAGGTTTCGCAAATAATTTTACAAATTAAGCGAAACGAGAGTTGATGAGGGAAAGATGTGAAAAGAGAAATAAATAATTAATGAAATTATTGAAGCATAAAGCAAAAATCTTTTTTATGAAAAGTCTTATGACAGTTGGCTTGTCTCGATTTTCAATATACACGGAAAAAAAAGTTTTTTTTGTGTTGAAACTCTTCTGAAAGAAGGAGGGAGTTAGGATAGAGAGAGAATGAGAAAGAGAGGGAAAGATGAAGAGGAAGCGGAGTAAGAGGGAGACAAAAAATAGAAATAAAGGGAAATGAGCTTTTTGACAGAAAGCATCGCAATGAGGTAGCAATAAAGAATTTAAAATTGGAAAAGCTTTGACCAATATTGGTCATTTAGTTTTTTGGAGGCCAAAAATGATGACAAAGACTAATAAGGCAAGAAGTATAAAAGAGGGCTTTGTGAAATGAAATTTTCAAAATGCAAATATGGAACATCTTGACATTTTGCTTCTTCTCATAACGAAATTCACATGAATGTCCATAGATGAAGCTGAAAAGATGGTCAAGTCATCGCACATTCATTAAAAATTATACTTTAAAATAGGAAAATAAACAATTAGTTTTACAAATAAATTTACATTTTCAAGGAACAACCTAGTAAATTGTTTTGTTGCATTTGCACAAAACAAAAGATTTAAATCAAAAAAATGAAAAAGAAGGATGAAGAAAAGGGTGCAGAAACACATTATATAGTTAGCTAGTTTATATATATATATAGTTAACTGACTATTCTTTTGACTATATGCTACATTTTCAAAAGATTATCTAAGGATGTAGGAGAGAGCTGTAGGAGCAAAGAATCAGAGCCAATGTTTCAAACAGAGAGAATGCGAGAGGGAGATAAGGGGTAGATACATATGTCTTTAACATAGAGAGAGAGAGAAAGACACAAAGAGAGAGAGAGAGGGAGGGAGGTTTGGATGTATAAAATTACCAGAAGAAACCTTGTTGTCGTTCATAAAACCTTTATATAACAAGAGAAATGGATCTGATTACTATGGAAATGTTCGATCTTAGAAATAAAGAAGGTGAAGCTTAAGCTGTTTACAAGCTTTATCTATTTAAATATGAAATTAATTCTTATTATATATATATTTATATATATTCTTAATATAATTCAATAAGATGTGAATGAAAAGAACATGATGACGAAGATGCAGAAGAAGAAGAAGAAGAAGAAAAAGGAAAAAAAGTTGAAAAAAGGAAGAAAGAAACGAAAAGAAGATAATCAAGTCGAAAGAACATGGAAATCCTTGTGTGGAAGAAAGCTTTCCAGCAGACTCCGAGGAACTTTTCGAGTAAACTATGAAGTTTTTTTAAACAATTCACTTCTCAGGGAAATAGAAGAATTACATGCAATACTGTGGGTTTACATAGGCGACAAACTGCATCATCTTCTACACTACCACCAGCTTCATCTCATCTGTCTCCACCTCCTATTTAATAGAACACAACCATAGAGATATAGATAGAGAGGAAGAAAGAGTGTGAAAGAGAGGCTAGAGACGAAGGACGATAGAAAGAATGTGAGAGAGGATGGATGTAAGCAGACGGTATCAGGCTGATGAAGAGATGGAGCAAAGGGTTACCATCTGCCTCTTGCTATCTCTAATTCTCCCAATTACCCACACTTCCTCACCTCTTCAACATACCTATTCTTCAATTCTTTTCTTTAATAACTTTACCTTTAATAGAAGGAAGTTTAGAAAAGCTTAAATGCTGTAAACATCACTTTTGTTTGAAACGCCTTCGTTCGACATTTATAATTTATAAGTTTAAGCACGTACTTCATTTAATCTTTTCGTTTTACAGAAAGAGTTCAAACGAAATCTTGAAGAGGCAAAAAAAGAAAAAAAAAGAAAATAACAGGGAGGACAATGACCTTTCAAGGTAGAAGCTGACTCAGAAATCGATATTGCTTGACTTCCGCACAGAAATTCGGTATAATAAAGAATGATTTAGTAGAAGAAATTCTCAGAGAGAGACAGAAAGACCAAAGGAGAGACAGAGCAAGAGAAAGAGAGAGAGAAATGGAGGTAGAGTTAAAGAAGGAAAGTGTAGCTGTCTTTGCTAATGAGAGCTAGAGAACGAATGAGAGAATGCAATGCAACGAAATCTGATAAGAGAAATTAGCATAGAAATGACTGGACAGGTGTTTGTCTATATAAGGAGATTACATAACGTGCTGTCGCACAGCAGTCATTCTTGTGTGTATGTGTGTGTGTGTGTGCATGTGTAAGCCTTCATTTGCATATTGATTTTTATTTAATTATAAATAATTTTATTTAACTCCTTGTTATACACATTCAGAGAAACCAAAATAATTTTTAATGTATCCAGGTTTGCACTTTCGACGGCAGATTGAAGACAATTCTGAAAGAAAACAAAACAATTGAATTGAAGCAAGAAGACAGAAGACGAATTACAACCAACTTCTTCTAAAAATTTGATTATTTGATTAAAAAGTTTTCGTTTGGCTTCTATTCGATGCTCCTCTACAGACAATTCTGATTCCAAATCCAAGATATGATTGGTTTTGACAAGCATTTTCTACAAACAATAATAAACATTCTACTTCCTTGTATCAAAGTAACCTGAAGAACTTGCTCCAACTTCACAATCAACTTATAAGCTTGAAGAATCTTATCAGTTGTTTCAAGATCTTCCTTACAATCGAACAGTTTCTGAAATATATGGTCATAGGGTCTCAGGACTTCCGTAATCGTATACCTTATTGAACTCTTTGCAGCTTTCTATATATGGAAGGAAATGATGAATTACAATATCAAAAGACGAGTTGTTCTCAAATATACAGTCAGCCTCACTTAATTCAATTATTTCATTTCATTACGCATGTTCTTTGCGGGACCATACTGAGTTATATACTGAGCGATGGCCGTAGAATAAACATCTGTTGTGAAAATAAAGATTTTCTTGATCCATTCTTTTATTTTATATCCATATATGTCAAATAGGATTGTTAATTGCTTGACAGCTCGAAGAAGACGAAAAGCTAAAATTTTGAAGAAAAAAAAACTGTTGGACAGTCGTTATTATAGATTACCACAGCTCTTCATGTCAGATTGGAAGGTTCCTATTTCTAAGTCAAAGAAAGACAATTGAAGAAATAAACAATTTTTATCAACCTTTAATTATACGTATAGTTAATATAGTATAATTTACCTTAGTTGAACAATAATTATAAATAGCTTCTGTTAAGAGAAGGCAAATTGAAGGATCTCCGTCTGATAAGGTTTGAGGTGAATCAACACAGTAGAACGAACAGATACACATGATTATAAACCTTAAAAGCATATCTATCTATTCCCTCTGGAGGTTTACCTCTCCATTTTCAGATAATCCGGTATTCGACTCTCCTGAACGCCTACGAAATTCAGTAAAATTGTAATTTTCATTTCAAAAGAGAATTCATCTCCAAGAATCTCCCCAGCTGTCAGTAGAGAGTTCTCAAAATATATCATATAATTTACTTTTCAAGCAAGGTAAACTCACTCGAAAGAGTCTATTGGCTCCCATGTGAATAAAATGAAATCGTTCATCAAAGGATAATTCTAAGTTATTCTTAATTTTCATATTTTAATTATAATTTGTTTTTACAAATTTCCAAACCACTAGCTTGGGTATGATGGCTATGAATTGGTCAGTTGCAGGAATATGTTGTTGTGTTTGCCATTCTAATACTAATTCAGTCTTAACAGAGAATGCTATGATGTAATACAAGTGTGTGCGGATGTGTGTGAGAACCTCTGGAACGGGAACAACCTCTTTGACGACTTTCTTTTTAATAACTTTCTTCTTCTTCTTAGTTCTGCAATGTTGTTTAGGAGAATAAGAAAAAAACAAGAAAAATACGAAAACTTTGGTATTGAAATTCCCTTTGTTTCTTTTTTTTGTTTTTGGGAAGCTTTTTTGGCCTTAATCTTCTCTTCTAAGCCTTGATGAACTTTGATTGCTTAAATTTCCTTTTTTGTTACAAACGTAGGAATATTTGAACGATTCACCTGGTTTGATTTCTTCTTTGACCTCAACGATCGCTTCTGCCTTTTCAACTTCAACTTCAATCTGTCACAAGTGGTAGGTGAATGTTTGAGAAGTTCTCTTCTTACGGGCTCGTGAATAATTTTCCTTATTAGGATGAATAAAACAGAAGAAAGTTCAGTTGAAGCTATATAAGAACTTAGCAGAGCATTTCCCTCATTAATCAAGTTGTTAATTGGCATATCATCACAGAGCAATGATTGTTGAATTTTGGACGAAAGCCAAACATCTATCAAATCACAAAAAAATAAATTGAAAAAAACATGTGAAAAATCATTTTATTACCAATCTTCTCAGATGACTCGTCTGCAGTTGATGAATCAATTGAAATTTTAGATAATTGGTACAAGGCAACATTCATTGGCAAATAAATTATTTTTGTGCTAAAGCGTGTAAAGGAGTTCCAACTTCAACTTGGCATTCACAAGCTGCAGCTGACTCAATCGTTATTGGCTCCCATCTAAGGAAATATTAGCTTCAAATATTATATTATTGACTTACTTTGAACTTTCTTTCGGTCCAACTCTCTTGAGTATATTTAAAACTCTAATAACCGGTCGGCATGTACCAAAACCTTTAAACAAATAGTTAAAAACTGATTTTTGAAAATTGAAACGTTAACCTGCCAAACAGGAGTTATCCTCTGTATCACAACTGACTTCATTAATGTAATTGGGAAAGTATTCTTCTGGTAAACGACGCCATTGCCAACATAAATTACATAAACCACACCAGTTATCTGTCTGAAACAAAAAATTGAAAACTATCATCTTGCGATTTACCTACTTCACTTAGAGCAGTGCCTTTCTTATAGTCACATCCGATCTGACTCGTAACTCCAAGCACTAGTCAATAGGTATGTAATGCACATGCTCTTACTCATACTTACTGAGATCTGTTTCTGATATATCATCATCATCACGTTTCTTACGATCCATTGTGACATTTTTTAAAGAATCAAATAACTTTAAAAATTTAATTTAAATTAGTTTATAGCTTTAATTACCTTATTGAAACGATTTTCATTAGATTTAGAGCTGAATCGGAAGCTTCTCTTTCGACGCGTTTTCAATCTGTCGCAAGTGACTGATGGACTATCTGGAAATGAAGATTTCTTATCTTCAAGATTCACGTGGCTTATTCACGTGGTAAATAAGCATCTGATGAATGATTAGTACAAGTTCAAATGTTGCAAATGTTGAAAAACAATTCACGTGAAACGTATCACGTGAAATGTTCCAGCCATTCTATCTCATCATAAATTTAAAATCATTTGCACTGTTTGCAGACGCAAATGAACGGTTGAGTTTAAAAGGCGAAAAAAAATAAAATTTGTTACTAATTTGTCCTTGTAATTGTTGTTGCGTCTGCCATAAAACATCATTGGAAGAATTAGAAGAGTTTTGTAAAAATCCATTTACAATGGCTAATTTGCATTCTAAGCATTCAGGGCTTTTACATGTTTTGGCTGTTTTAGTTGGTTCAGATTGTCCAAATGTCTGTACACTCAGCATTGAAACCTTAAAAATGCAACTTTTAATTTAATCTAATTGAAATGAGGAGAACAATACTTTGCTGGACTTTATATCAGCTGCTGCAGCCATTTCGTCTTCGTCATCGTCATCATCAAAGAGAGGAGTACCACCCAGTGTGGCTAAGTTAGGAAATGAGAAGAGAGCTTCATCAAGTGAAGTAGCCATATAGCGAGGATCATAAGATAAACACTTTTTGGATGGTGATGATGATGCACAAGGGCATTTAGCTGATGAAAATGATGATTCATCTATAGTATTCTGAAAATTTAGAAAAAAAAGAAAAGATAGTAAGATGTTTACATGAAAACAAGTATAATAGACAAGTACCTGTACAAATCCATAAATAGTTATAAATAGACAAGATATAGTGATATAGGAAATCATTTTGGACAAATAGAAGAGAGCAACTGATTGTTCTTCTCCTCAACTCTGCCACTCCAGAATGTCAATAGTTTCCAACTATTTGAAAGGTTTTCAAATATTTTTATTTACTTTCTCTTTTGAACAAAAAAAAGTTTCATGAAAAATCAATCGATCCTCTTTTATTTCGTGAGAGCCACGTAAGCTTATGGCTTTTGCCCTCCTTTGCTGTTCTTCCCTCGTTATCTCTATCTATCCTAGAATACCTCTCTCTTCCTCCTCAACTCTTATATCTTTCTTCCTCTTCCTGTCTATACACTTTCTTTCTTTGAAAAGAATGAAATGGATCTCATTTGTCTTTTTTTTCTACTTTTTCTTAAACTTGACCTATTCGTCTTCTCATGTCATCATGTAACGTCAACTTCTAAAACTCTCACTAACACGTGAACATTAGGAGAAGTCTTTATTGGAGTTCATAAACCCGCACAAAAAAAATACAAAAAAAGAAGGGAAAAAAACGAGAAAAGTAAAACTAGAAAAGCGTCGAAAGGAAAACGTCTAGTCGAAACCCTGAAAACTTAAAAATCTCCAGCTGAGTCTAACTACAGGAATATATATAAACGTTATGTAAGGCACTTAAAAGGAGTAAAAGTCAGCTTTATGCGAGGGGGGGGATATTGATATAAACATATTTACCCAATTAATAACTATATCATATAATATAATATAACATATTCATATTAAGCATTCCTTTGGAGGAACAGAGACTCGTTGAAACGTATTTCGATTAGTTTTTCGTCTTCTCATAGCATTTGTCAAGTAATGACGTAAAGTTCTTCGGAAGTTTGAGCCAAATGCATAGTATATGGAGAAATTACAAGATGAATTGACAACAACCATAAGATTTGATAAATCAATCAGATAACTGTTAACAATCATGAAAACTAATTCCAGAAAATTGACTGTCAGAGGCTGAAAAATATGTTTTTTGCAATTGAAGCTGTTATTGTTGATCAGTATGATCGTAATGAAAGAATAAAAGAAAAAAAAGGTAAAATGTAATTAACAACTTACCAAAACATTACAGGAAATGAATAAACAGACAACCAATACCAACGTGATGATGTCAGAATCGGATTCGTTTTCTTCTGTTTCCCGCTTTTCTTGAAGTTTTGGACGTTTCTCTTGACGTTTCATGAAAACGACGATGGCAGAATTGATGGCAACAAGCAGTATTACGGGACCAGCTGCCATAACTATTGTATACATATAGGCATAATATATGGTTAAGTAATCCTTAATTAGATGTTTAATTAAAAAATAGCTGATGAATGAAGGCGTTACGGGATCAGATCGTAAAGCTGTCGGACAAACATCTTTGGAAACGGTATTGTAGGGCATGCTCCAACAATCAATTACGAAGATTTCATACATATGAGGAGAGTTATAGATGAAAGCCAAAAGGATAATCATTGCTATCATCTATAATATGTGTATTGTCATGTTTCATCATCTGTATTCCGTTTCCTGTAACTCACAATCAGAGATGTTCGAACAGAACAAAATTTGTTTTTAAATTTTGGCCCAGCAGCCACAAGCACCAGACAATCAAAAGCCGCGGCAACAGTCAGAAAGACGGATAAGGATTGAGCTGTTAAGCCTGAAAGAACAAAAAAAATAATTTCGTTTTTGCAGTTTCTGTGTATGTGTGTGTGTGTGTGTGTGCGTAGTTAAATGAAAAATAGAAAGTGTACGCACCTAATGGGAACATTACGGGAGATAAAACAGCGAAATAATAAGTTGCAATCAGACTGCGTTTTCTCATATTTTCAAGAAAAAATAAGAAAAAAGCTGTCAGAATGATGATGATGTCAGAGCAGGCCAATGCACACAAGTACCTTAATACATGAAATGATATAGAATACGATAGAATGTTTAAGCTTACACATTAAGACTTGATATCATTTCGCGTCGTGAGTATGTAAAGGCCGATAAGGTATTTCCGATTAATCCCATACATCCAATCAATGGCAAAAGAACTCCAATGACTATCTGAAGATTTACTTCGTTCTTCAGTTTCACGTTCTACTTTCTTCTACGTTTTCTGTTTTTTTTAATTATTTCTCGGCTTTCAACTCAATTATCGCTATTTTCTTCTTCTGCAGCCAAAGATAATTTGGTTTTTTAAGCGAATTTTGGGCTTTTTTTCTCCCTCGTAGTTTTTACTAATTCGACTTTCGTCAAGTTCTTCTTCAGCTTCTTCTATTCCATATTTGGATGATGAACTAATTAATGGATCATTGTTAAGACTTTGAGATGTTGTAAGTCTTATCTGGCTGAGTAATTTGAAGATCTTTTGAGCAGCAACAAGACTATATATGGACATGTTCAGAATGAATTAGTTGTTGCCTCTTTTGTTCAAAATGGATGACCAAACCCAGAGATCAAATGAATGAAATAGCGTCTCAGGACATTTGACGTATTAAAAAGTTGCGAAAAAGTAAAAAAGAAAATGTAAAAACGGTTGAAGAGAGAGAGATGGAGAAAAAAATAAAATAAAAAGTAATAATAAGTACGATTGTCCTTCTCAACCCACACGTTCATGAGATAGCAAATCCCCCAAACAATTAAGAAATACAAAATCTTTTTTTCCTTCTTCTCATCATCATCATATCATTTGTCGATGAAAACGGTATCTTACCAAATTAAAATGTTCATATTCCTTAGATACAACACGCGTTTGTCCATAATCATAACACCAACCACATATGGACAATCCCCAACATACACCATCAGAAATTGATTCATTTGAACATCCAACTGATATATTCATCTGAATTCTAAAGACGTCAATTTTCCAGAGAACATCAACATCTCATTAAAAGCATCTTCTTTCACATGTCAAAATGATGAATAATGGAATCCGTGAACTTGCAACGAAAAGTGGCAGAAAAAAAAAACGAAAGAAAATGAAACAAAAATGAGTTGATGGAAGAGACACAAAAAGGGAGGGAGGGAGGAAGGCAGGGAGAGAGGGATTTTAGCAAATGGGTAATTAACTTATGGTTTGTAAATGTTTTCAGAAAGTAAAAGAAGCTGTTTTCAGCTTAAGAAACAGAAAGCTTACAGGTAGGAATTGAAAAGAAATGTCTTCTTCTTTATAATTTTTAATGTCACTTTCATGTAAAAAAGAGGACATGAAGCGAGAGTAATGAATGAAATTTCTTAAGAGAGAGATAGATATTTATATATTAAGAGAGAAGAAGATGAGAGGGGAGAGGGAGAGTGGGATTGGATAAGATAGCTAATAGAGAGTTCTCCTTATGAATGCTTAAAGAGTGAGAGGGAGAGAGAGACAGTGAAAGAGCAAAGGAGGAGGGAAATACCAATGTAGTTCTTTCACCGATGGCACAAGAAGCAGCCAAAAGCTCATCAAGGCTTAAAGTGCAGCTTTTTGACGAACTGTTCAAAATGAATGCCAACTACATTAGCATAATTTATAATAAAGCATATGGGAAGTAAGGGATTGAATGCTATTTTTGAAACAAAAAAAGGAGGGGGGGGGGGGATGAAAGATGATGTATCATGTTTTTTTGCTCCAATAATTATACTAACCATTATGATCATCCATATTCTTTGAAAACATAACAAGCTTCTTCCACAATAAGCCTTATAGGCTTAAGGAATCAAGTATTGATTCCAATTTTTGCTTTTCAATACAAATGACATCATTGTTTTAGTTAATATAATTATAATGAGTTAAGACACAAATGAAACTGTTCACGTGTAAACTACGTAACAAGCTTCAAGAACAGCTACTTCTCTTCCTCTAAAGTATGTAAAGTGAGAAAAACACTTTAAGTTTTTGAGAACTTTTAACGTGAAAAAGAAGCAGAAAAAAGACCACAAGATTAATTTTCATCTATTTTTTTATTAAAAATTGTTTGTTTGGAATAAAGGGAGGGATGGGACCAAAGAGGGGAAAAGCTTTAAATGCTAAATGAATGATGAAAAAAATAAGTTATTGAAAGACACAACCGTTCACCTCTCCTATCTACAAACAATGAAGGAACTTCACACGCGATTTCCACGTGAACTAGTGACGTATGCAAATTAAGAATAGGTGTAGAGAAGTTGAATACCCAATGGAATGTTTAAAAAGAAATATTTTGTTCAAAAAGTTGTTGTGAAGAAGGCAATGTATGAAAAGAAGAAGATGGAGAAGACGAAGAAGAAGCTAAAGAAGAAGCAAGAAAGGGGGCGGGACAACACAAGATCTCAGGACGATCATTTACAAAAAAAGAAAGATATCATTTTTTATACTTTTTTGTGTTAAAAAAAGAGTCTGTGATCTCTCTATCTTTTTCTCTCTTAGTCTCCCTCTCCCTCTCTCTGTTTCTCTCCATCACTTATCTGTAGTTTGTAGTTTACTCTCTTACTCGTTCATAACCATATCACCAGTTTACTCCCATTCTCTTTGAAACCCATTCTTTGGAGTTCTTTCTCTCTCTCTCTCTCTCTTTCCCTCTCTCCCACCCTCTCTCTTTATTCAAATCGAGTAGTTGTTTATCATCAATAAAGTAACTGTCATTTAACTGAAAGGATATTAAAGAAGATAGTTGTTTTCAACTTTTAATGAATGTTTTTTATCTTTAACTATATGTTGGTATAGTTAACGAATGAGCAGTTGTTCAAGTTTTCAGTAAAAAATGGAAGACAAAAAAGTGTCTTTCTTACTCTTTACTTCCAAACTTTACAAATTACATGTGTCAAATGTCAATTGCAGCTCAAATTCACGAATGGAAAGATGAACAGATTGTCGGCTGATTCTGCATACACACACATACGCATACACACATACACGAAAACCAATTTTATACCTGAAATCCCCTCTGGCGCTTTTTTTAATGAAAAATACCCAAATTTGGGGTGTTGGTTGGCACAAAAAGAAGGGGGGGGGGAGAAGAGAGAGAAAGAAGGCGAGGTGGTGAGGTAGAGCAACAACGAACAGCCATACTATACATCAAAATCACTTTTCTTTTACTCTTTTTTGTGTAAATTTCTTATGAAAAAGTTTTTCCGAAAAAAGAACATTATGCGTTTGTCGGAAGCCAATTGTTGTTGCACATACTTTTTGTTGAGAAAAAAAAACATGTGTTTATAGAAGATAGAAAAGAGCCGAATGACCCTCTCTAGAAATCATTCAAATTTGCTCTTCAGTTATCTCCTTCGCTTGTCTGTCTGTCGATCAAGAAAAAAGGAAAAAAAATGAGATTTAAATGAATTTTTGTTTGACACAAACAAGCACTTTTTATTTCTAATTTTACATATATTTTCAAACTAAAACATTGTTCTGGACGAGGCGGCCAAAAGTTCATGGGATGATGAGTCAAATGCTTCGGTTACAAACTAATATATGCAAAAACAATTACACGAATAAAACCTTTCTTTGCTTCTATTGTCATCCCCCCCACTCACTATCTACCTCTCTAGTTGTTACTCTCTACCTCTGTTCCTCTCTCTCTCTCTTTCATACTTTAACTCTTTGTGATATATCTATTCTTTGCTTTTAACTCATTCCCTTCTATTCTGCATGTTCTTTACTACATATCTCTCTATCTCTCTCTCCCTCTCTATATCTTTCTCTCTCTTCATCATTCTCTTGGAAGCAGATTTTTGAAGTAAAGAGTGTTGTCTTTGTGTGTAGAATTCTGCTGGGAAAGATTAAAAGAGCAAATCTCCTTGTAAAGAGAGGCGAACCATTCTTCAACTAAGAATTTCGGCACAAAAAAAGCAAAATAAGTGAAAAACACATGATGATTATCAAGTCTTAGAAAGGCTGTGAAGACGATTGGGAAATGAAGACGAAAAAAATTGTGAATGTTATAAGAAGAAAAAAAGGAAATGAAGTCTAACTCATGCTCAAACGCATTCAAATATGGAAAGATTTCGGATCATTGGGATGAACTAAGCGCTATTTATGATAGCTTGAGGCTATTCAAGTAAGCACACATGCACACATTTCCACACATACACACACGCACACATACACACACACATACACACATACACACACACACAGGAGCTGAAGCCGGAACCAAACGAGGAACCAAAAAAAGGAACCAAAAGAGGACACAGATTGTGAGCTCACGAGCAACAATTAGAAGATACTACAGGAGAAAGTGAATGAATAAATAGCCTGATGGCACAAACATCCATCAATCGAGAAATGAAGGGTGAGGGGGTCCCGAGCAAAAAGAGCTTCAATGGGGACGAAATGTATCATACCTTCTAAGCTTCATCAAAGAAGAGAAATAACTTTCTGAAGTAAAATTGGCATAATTGATATATTCTCCGCATTCACGTCAGCTTCTCCTTCCATTTTCATAAAGAACATTAGTTCCCCTTAAAAAATCTTAAGCTTTTCCCTCTTTCTACACAAATACAAAGAGAAACATGCATATGAATGAAATATAAATGAAGCTTATTAACTATTATTAAGCTTATAACCCTTATATGGAATATATTGTGTTTCAATTGCCAGTTCGCACCTTCTGTCATCTGTATATACACGTATCATGTTGGCGTGATATCTCACGAACTCATCTCATCTAATCAATAATCACACGTACTTGAAGTCTGGAATTTACATTTGAGCCAACAGGAGGAAAAGCTGCAAAACAATTAAAAAGCTCTTCAAAAAATCTTTTTTTTCTGTAACAGAATATGCGATAGCGTGCAATATGGTCTCTTTGAAAATATTTCCTTATTTGTTAGTTTTCCTTCTTCAATTATCTTTTACAATATGTACTATACGGAGTGTTTTCAGATTTCCTTTTCATATACCTCCTCTGTGTGCCCTGAGGCTAAAATATAATTTTTTTCGTTTCTCACATGTTTCTCTTGCCTTTTGCTATGTTTTCTGCTTCATTTTCAAGTGCTCCATAGCCGAAAAGCTTTAAGTTATTCAGTACAAGTCCTTTAGAAAACTCAAAGCTCCTGAACATGCTTGCACCCACTTTCAGCCAACGCTCGACCTCATCGCTCCGTTTTTTCCTTCTTTTTGCAATCGGAGACATCCACATGAAGCCCATAAGCAACAACACATCACAAAGAGTATCATTTGACAGTTTGTTTTGCTTTCTCATATTTTTTCTGTGATTTTGTTCGCAAAACTTATGTCATTCTTATTGCCTACATATGTATTCTTGTTAATAGCGTCTCAAGACCCATTCATGCTCAAATTTCCTTATCAAAATCACATTTAATGTGAAATTGAAGATTGTTGAACTTGATATAGCATCTTTTAAGCTTCAAATTACGTGGTTCCCACATTCGAGCTTAGTTTTCCTCTTCAATAATTCCTTCTCACCTAAGCTTATAGCTCATGAATCGAAAGAAAGAATTCGAAGCCTTAAAAGTTGAAGTTTAAGACTTCTTCGTCAAAACTTTGCAAAAATATCAATTTTCCAAGTTATTTCTCAAATAATCCTTGATGAATCTTAATCTTCACAGTTTTTTTTTCTTTTTTCCTTCTTTCTTCTGTAAACAAAAACTTTTTTTTTATTCAAATTTCTCTTCTTTTTTTTTGTTTTTTTAGTACCTCCTCTCACACACAACAAATACTTCGGTCAGTTCTTGTTGTTTTCTCTTTTGTCTTACTCTCTCTGCTTCCAAATTTCATTTTTTGTGGCTTGGCCTTCTGTGAACTTCTGACAGACACAAAGACAACTCATTTGACTCATTGACGGATTCCATGGATTTATGATGGAAATTTTCTCTTTTTTCTTCAAATATTCATTACTGGTCTACTACGAAGTTTCCTTCGAAGGGAACAGAAGAGAGAGAGAGTAGACATAGAGAGAGAGAAGGAACTAGCATAGGAGGGAAAATAAGAGAGAGAGAGAGAAATTTCTTGTAACTTTTTATTTTGACATACAAGTACATGAACTTTTGAGGGAAAAAATTGGAATAAATCAAAATATATCTATGGGACAAAGATCTTCATAAAGATTTCCATTCATATAGCTGTGTGTATATGTGTTAATTAGTATAATTTCATTAAATTTTCTAAGAAAAAAAAAAAGTTACTGAGCAAGTTGACGATATACACAGCACACAGCTGACAATATAAAATAACTTAATTATACAATAAAAGAATAAAATGCGGAGGATGAAGCTCATTTTGTCTACGAAATCTTACTATTCGATGCAAAAGAAGCCATTTTTCATTTAAAATCAAGTTTTTACTTTCATTTGCATAACATACGTGCAACGTAGGTGAGATGAGAGCTTCTACTGCACTTCACGTTTACCATACACAGGCAGAGGCACACACGCATGCACATACACACACATGTACATACACACACATAGGCGCATACACATACCCATACACACGCTCACATACCATTCTCCTATACCTACTGCTTGCTGCTGAGTGTTGCTACTACTGCTGCTGCTGCCGTTGCAGCTCATTAACGTACTCTTCTGAGAATTCATTTAATATTTTGCAGATAAATGACCATTCCGTGATAAATATATTTTAAACATTGCGTGCCTCTATATATGTCTTTGTTAACATTCTCTTTTCACGTCAAACATACACACACGTGTATTTCACACGTCATTTATCTTTCTGTCAGACTATGTGATCGGTTGTGCTTCTTCATTATCTCATCATTTCATCTTTCATTTAACTTAACCACGAGGAAAGAAAGTTTTTTTCCTATCAAAATTTCTTCATTGCTCCACGTGACGTTCACGTGTCTCACGTGAACTTTGGTTGTGAGAAATTATTGTTTTTTGGGTCGAAGAAACTTTCCTGCTTCAAATTGAAAAATTTTTTTTTGTTATTTAATGTGAAGGATATCTCACGATATTCTTTAATATTTTTTTTTGGTTGTTTGTTTCAGCAATGTTCGAAATCAAGTTTTCACACCGGCGTTTTGGAAGCTTTGTGTCGGTCCGTCTTCTACTTAATCTTATGATTAAGTTATAAAAAAAAGATTTTTTTTTCTTTTTTAAAGAAAAAAAGAGAAGAGGAGGACGACGTTCAAGAAACAGCTCTTTCTCTCTTTAAATGGTCAATGGCCTTTGTCTTGTCTCTTCTCCTATCTCTCTCTATTCATCAGTATCTTAGTCACATCTTTCTCTCCCAGTCTCTCTTAGCAACTAAGAAAGATCAGATTCATTTAATAATCATTTGTTCTTTAATAAGCTATTAATGATTAAAGCCTTTTATAGAAAAAAACATTGCTCATTGAGCAGATTCAGAGCAGAGTCAGAGCTTCAAAACTCCCACGTGTAATTTCCGTTGAAAGGAGATGTTCACCTGAAAAATAAAATATTTCAAAATTCATTCCGTCATTGTGAGTGTGAATGGAGAATATGAAAAAAAAATTTAATCGATGATATAATGAGTTCACTGTGTTCTTATAACTACTTGAGAGATATTGATTAAAAGCCAAAAGCCAATTACAGCACTATTTATAGCTTTAAGAATGATCATTTTAATTTCTTTTTTTTCTTTCTTTTTTTCGTCTTTTTTTTTCTTTTCTCTCTCTCTCTCACAATCACTTTACTAAGTACTTACGATGTAATTTATTTTTAAATCTCCTCCCCCCCCACCTCATCATGGATCGCCAAATTTTTTATTCAATTTTGATTGCAATAAACGGTTTGATACATGTACAATGAACTTTCGACCTCTCTTCGGCTTGCCAAAGTTCATTTTATCCTCACTCATTGTTTCTTTTGTCAAATGAATGGTTTTGCGATTGAACAACTAAAGCTTCCGTAAACTTTCGGAACTTATAAAAAACATTTTTTTTTGTGTCCCGATCGTAGGCGGACAAAACTGTTCTTTTGGCACTGTTTGAACAAGCGCTCAACTCTTGCCATCTGCGAGCAGAACTGTCAAATGGCTCTGTAATGAATGTGTTTTTTTTTGTTCTTTCATGTTATATCTTCTATGTTTTTGAGCATCAGGTATGAGATTGGATGGATTAAAACAGAAAATCTTTATCTCTTTCTCCTTTCGTATTCTCTCTCACTCCATAGATTCATCTCTCTATAGCATTCTCTATGTGTCTGTCGTCTCTATTCACATCTCATTGGAAGCTTGTCTGTTCGCATGCTGAACTCCTCCTACTAACACACAGAGCTGAATGTTGAAGGCGAGACGGATGAACCTCGTTTTTCCGATTCGTGTTTTGCTTTCATCTTCTTCGCCTTTTTTTTTCTGTGTCGTTGAGTTCAGGTTTGACATCTATTTGTTAACACTTAATGCCTTATAAAACGTTAAAAATATTTGGCTGACTAAGTAAGTTCCGAAATCTTTTCAATTTAGTCATTTGGCTAGAAATTCACAAGAAATTTCTCTCTGAAATTAAAGCTTTCATTTGGTATTGAAGACCTCCCTTAGTCAGCCCTCCTTCCCTCCCTGTTCATTTAGTTTCTCCCTTTTTTCTCTTCTTCAAGGAACAGCAGCTTCCAGTCCATGAATTTCTCATTCAGTAATTTCATTTTCTTCCATTCCATGTAGATCTCATCCGTACTTTAGATCATAATGTCTCAATTCTATTCTCCTAAAAAAATATATTATATATATGGCTGAAACTTCTCTGAAATGAGACGATTTCTCTTCATTTCGAGCTTTTGTGACCTTTGAAGCGTTTTTTCTCTCCCGACTTTACTTTCTATCTCTCATTCTCTGTTCCATATTAATACCTCTTATGGAAGCAATGTCCTCGTCGCCAAACTTTTCATTTTTCGTCTGAAAATTAGTCGTGAACGGTTGTGCTTCAGCATTTTTTTCGGTAATTTAGGTAATGGACCCGGATGCTTCTTCCATTTTGGCATCAACTTCTGTCATAATTACAAATAAATCTGAAAGTTGTATTGATATACGAGAATTCCTATATCAAAATGAATCAGATTTAACGTTGGAACCTATAACAATGGTTACATTTGGATTTATTTATTCTTTATTTGTCACGTAAGTTTCTTTTGTAAAAAAAATGAAAAAAAAACTTCTTTTTCGTTGACGTCAAATAATGATTTCGACGTTCAAATAAACAATTAGACAACTCTTAATAGAGTTGCCAAGATGTAAGGGAGGATGCAGGTTCGAGAGGCTTACCATTCTCTTGAGAACCTATTTTGAAGGAAGCAATGCGATGAAAGAATATAAAAAAAACAAATGGTATATTTTAGTGTTTGGTCATCGTGTGTTGATTAAAAATTGCAATAGCTCGAGAAACTTACATAGGCCAAGAGAGAGGGAATAAGAGAGAGAGAGAGAGAGAGAGAGGGAGAGAGAGAAAGCTATAGGGGCAAGGAGAGTAGAGGGAAGGACATGCAATCCATCAAATTCTTCTGATGTCTTAGAAGAGTTGTTGAAATTTCCTTTTTCAGATTAGGTGTTATTGGCAATTTATTGGTCATTATTTCTGTTTATCAGAATAGATCGCTACAATCTGTTCGAAATATTTTTATCGTTTCATTGAGCGTCTCGGATATCGTCGTTTCCATAGTTTCTGGATCGGTGACTCCCATCTCAGCATTTTCGAAAACATGGCTTTTTGGAGCAAATATGTGCTATTTTGTGCCGTTGATTCAGGTTTCTTTCTTCTTTTCAAATTTTAAATGAATGAAAAGTTTATTTAAGGGAACAAGTTTATGCTTTTCCACATTGACCTTAACAGCAATTGCCATAGATCGATTCATTCTCATCATATTTCCAGCAAAAAAGTATTTTTTAATTACCATTCTGCTTCCTTTTAAAGTTCATTGACTCTAAGTGCAATTCATATTTTTTAATTTTCAAATTTTTCTTTCATAAATTGACTTACAGACCGATTCAAATGTCCATGGCATTGAAGATGATTTTCCTCAATTGCTCCATTGCGGCTTCTGTCTCGTTTCCTATGTTTTTGAAACAACGATTGAGTCAATTTCAAAATTTCTGTGGACATTTTTGTGCTGAAGATTGGGGAAATGACTTGTATGCACGTTCCGTATATGGTAAGAAACGCTGTTGCATGTCAAGTTTCCGTTTAAACATCTTATGTAATTACAGGCACCATCGTCTTCATTCTCCAATTCGTTATTCCTCTCATTATCATATCGTTTTGTTATTTAATGATATCTTTGAAACTTAAACGAGTATGTTAGCTTACCTTATCCACCGTATACAGTTAATCACATCAGGGAATGCTTGTGAGGAATTCGAAAAACGAAGAGCTCATCATGACGGAACAACGTAAAGCAGCACTGAAACGTCGAATGCGCACAAATAGAATGTTAATCGGAATGGTGAGATTCTTTGATTTCCTGATTCAAAAACAACATTATTCTATTTAAAATCTGCAGGTTGGCGTCTTTTTTTGCTGTTGGATGCCGTCTGTCGTCTTCAATTTTCTTCGAGACTATACTTGGCTGCCAGACTACGTTCGACATCAAGAATATTTATTTGGGGTTATAACTCATTGTATTTCCATGAGGTAAAAAAGAATTTTTAATTAAAAATAAAAATGAAAATATTTTAGTTCAACTATATGGAATCCATGTTTATATGCATTGATGAACGAACAATTTCGTATAGCATTCGTCTCTTTATTAAATAATTTGAAAACAACTGATAAAAAGAAGGTTTGTGATGCTATATACAATAACCATGTATGCTAATTCATTTATATTTTTTTCTTTCATTTTCAGACAAGACATTGTTCACGCCTTATGTCCAATACAACTTTACTGAAAAGTCATTCAAATACTACTAAAAATGAAATTGGCTCAGATTATCAGACGAACATGTTATAACATATGCACGTGCTTTCATTTATTTATCTAATTAATACAGGTTTCCTTCATTTTCCTTTTGTCTTTTACTTCTCTAATTTGCATACGACGTGATCACGTCAACTTCAGTTCTCCTTTTTCTTTTTTTTCATTTCGTTCCTCACATGCTTGAAAAGCGGTTGATCTCGCTGTGTATCTTTGCTCATTTCAAAGTCATTTTATCAAACTAAAACTATCAAAAAAAATATTTTAAGAAGCTCATGACGTGTATTTCTAATGAAACAGAAGAATCAACAAACTCTTTTTCTTAATTTTGGCAGAAAAAAAAGAATGTGTTAGTATTAGATTCATAGAAAGAGATAAAGGTTTATCATGCATCCCCTCAAGCTTACTTCATACGTATACTATCATCCATATCACGTGTTAGCTGAATATCTTGAGCGATCTTCATTTACATGTAAGCATCTTCGACTAAGAATTTTTTTTTGTGTCTTGAAATTTCTGATGATTTAGAGGACAAACTCACTATGGATATTTGTAGCAAAAGCTCGCGAAAAGTTGGTCGGTTGTGTGTGGTTGAGCGTCAAAACATATGTTCATGAAAGAATCTCTGCAAAAGTAAAAAAGAAGTAAATTTATGTTTCTTTCCTCACTCAAATTCAAATACTTTCCGTTATTTGAGTCGGGAAGCTTCAATCGATGACCTTCTTTAAGCCTTTGAAGTAAATTGATTGGTTGAATACCCACATATGGTGTTTGACCAAATGTAGAAATTCCAAGTTGAACCACACCCTATAGCCACCTCAGTAAAGTTCAAAAAGTTTTTTCTTCCCTCTTATGATATTTACAATTCACTTAGTCAACCGAACTTCATTCGTCATTCAAACCATGCTTTGTCTGCTTGATAATGATGGCCATCTTCATGCATAACAATCCCAGCCAATATCCTTCAAGTAATTCAGATAATACACTTAAACTTACTTTTATCATTTAATGAGAAATAGTGAAACAGAAAGTGAGTTTGCCAATTGAAATTATCCTTAACAACCACATTAGTCAATTCTGCTCAACCCACACCCTTGAGGCTCTGTGAAATTTGATGGTAAATTGATAATTGACCAATTATATCAATTATTTCATTCATTTCCTCAAATGAGCATGTGACACATTATGAAAAACCAATTTAGCCTCTCGTTATTGATGAACAAAATGAAGAAGATCCATTCTCTCACAGGAATCCGTCGGCCATCAATGAGTCGGTTTCGGCATGACTTTCTCTACCATGAGCTTCAAAATGTGTGGATAATGACGAAAATCCTGGGAAAACGTTCTATTGCTTTCATCGTCTCCTTCTCACTTTCATCAACTTCATTTCCTGAACAAGTTTGTTCTATTTATATTCGGAATGATTTGATGTGAGCATTTAACCTGCAATACCTCGCCTACTATTCCATAAATGACGAGAAAACTTCATTCTAGCTAGAAATGGGACAAGAAGGAAAAAATAACTCGATTCGATCTCCGTCATTCTTCAATAATCCTCAGAATACATTATGAGATACTCTTAAAGCTATGATTTTCGCCATTATATGAAATCCTTTTCTTTTCTTTTTCATGGTTGTGAATTTCTCCTTTTAAGGGAAGTAAGTATTTCTTCTGGACTGCTAATTTCTGAAGTTGCTAGCAACACTGACCGATTCAAACCGAGCTGAGTGAATTTATGATTTCTTTGAACTCATGGCCCTCTCTCTCTCTTATTCGGAACAGCTCACGATTGCATACTCGACCCTTCTTTTCTCATAGAAAAACAACAACGAATAAAACGAAAACAAATGAAGCTCAAAGAATGGAAACAACCATGCTGGCATTCGGGAAAACAAAAAAGACTAAAGAGGATAGAAATTCGTACCTCATACTATTAAATAGTTAATCTTCATTCCACTTGGAACGAAAGAATTCCTACGATCTCACGACTGAGGTGATCGGCATGCTCTCGTTTGATCCCGAAAACCCAGAGCGGTTTTAATATCACAAACTAAACAAATAAAGGGAATTCCATGAAAGGCATTAAAACACACAATCTATTCCATTTCATAGTTAATTATTGCCATTGTAAAACTCCGATGCTCAGTTCATTAACTTAAAGCGTTCAATGGTATAGTTCAGAGCTTGTCGGAAGCCACAAACCTTTGTAGATGTGTGTCTTCTCGTAGGCGAACAGACTCCCAAACATATTTCGTCAGAGCTGGAATTAGTCTCAATTTATGAAACCTTGTTTTTTCTCATAAAAACAAGATTGTAGAAGCCGGAGAAACACTTAGCAAAAAAACTCACAAATAATCTAAATAAATCGAATTCAACAAACTTGCTGAAGCCTCATTTCTGTCATTACCGGGTTTAAAAAACTGTTATTTTCATCATAGAATCAAATTGGACTAATACATTTTCTTTTTCTCAAGGAGGGAGCGAGCCAAAGCTGCATTCGTTTATTACAGGGTGAGGTATGTTGACTGGGTTTATCAACTGTGTGCTGGAATATCCTTCGGAGAAGCTTTGAAAAAGATAAATAGAAGCCTACTTTAACAAAACGTTTGATCCCAGTAATAACACTCTCAGGTTGCTTACAATCTATTAGAATGATCATTAATACGATCTTTTACAAATACTGCCATATTTGTTTCAAGAAACAAATATTAATCGAGGGTTTCTTGGATTTTCAGACAGAAGTCTTCGAATTTTGTGAATTCAGTATCGTGAGGGATCGTGATTTTGAAAGTATGGACGAATGAATGAGTGAAGCACAAATGACAAATGAACGCATGAAATTCTCGTCTAAGTTGGGTCTAATAACAAAAATGATTAGCTAAGTATGGCTATGAGTAATCGTTTTGCTTCAGTAATCAGACAAACCATCATTCAGTAATGATATAATATGATACAATATAGTTTATCATGGTGAAGCTGCTTCTTTGTATACACGTGCATGTTTCACGTAAGCCACGTGGATGCATTTTCAAGTTGAACTCGTTCAAGCCCGGTTGATTTACATAGACGAAGTAGAAAATAAATTTATTCAAATAACATTTTTCAGCCAATAACTCATCAATTCAACATGTTTACAAATTGTTTCAAATCAAGTTCAAACTAACAAAAACCGACCCTGCCGATGTCATTGGCATCACTTGAGTGTCGGAATAGAAAAAGGTATTAATCAATGATACATTCTTCTCCACTCAATCATTTCCTTTACACTGTTCTTGCGGGATTTTGTGTCAAACCGAGGCTACGTGTTTTCCCATCTCTTTCACCTAACATTATTTCTTTTCAATTTTTTCAATTTCTATCCTCTTCTCCAATGTTTATTTCGGGATTTTTTGAATGATATAACCTCTACTCATACGTGAATTGACGTTCGATACTGCGCCCAAAATTTGTGCCGCCCTATCAAAGTTGCTTTAAGACATTGTTCTTATTTTCAAAACTTTGTAAGATTTTCTTTGCGTTTGTTTTTGTTTTTTCTAAGTCACTTTGAATAGTTGCAACATGACATCTTCTTGCGCATGTCGTTATAAGTTGAGGAAAATATAAGGATATATTTGCTTCCACTTTCGACAATTATGTTAGTTGCGTGTTTGTTAGAACGGATGATATTTGCTGTTTCTCACGTAAGCGTTATCATCTTTTTTCCAATACTTCTCTCTACTCTGTGATGCCTTCATCAGTATTTGTTCGGTTCAAGAATCATGCAAATGATCACTGATACTTTTTAAGGTCTTATACTCGATATGTTTACTTTCAGTGTTGGGCATGAAGCTGTTGAGCGGGTTACCGTTAAGATTGGTGAATGCCAGTTACTCTCAAAGCGGCAGCTTACGTCTGTTAAGTGCATCAGCAGCTAAGTCACAAAGGTCCGGTGGTTTTCGTGCAGATTTATATTTTTTGAAAATTCAGGCCTGCAGATAACAGAGAAGGACGTGAGATTTACACCACTTGTCCAATCGACTACAATGAGGGAAAATTCGATAAAATTCTTATTGCAAACAGAGGTAAATTAAGGAATAACTAATTAGAAAGACGATGAACTTTCTAGGAGAAATTGCTTGCCGTGTAATTAAAACCGCGAAAGCTATGGGAATCCAAACCGTTGCTGTGCACTCTGATGTAGACAGTAATGCACTCCATGTTCGCATGGCTGATGAAGCTGTTTGTATCGGAACTGCTCCAACATCAGAATCCTATCTTAGATCAGACAGAATTTTGCAAGCGGTTAAAGATACTGGTGCCCAAGCTGTATGTATAAGAAAAAGCTTGTGTAACTCATACCGAAATTTTCTTAGGTTCACCCAGGATATGGTTTCCTTTCCGAGAACACCAAGTTTGCTGCAGAGTTAGAAAAAGCTGGAGCTATTTTCATTGGACCAAATTCTAAAGCCATTCTCGATATGGGAGACAAAATCCATTCCAAGAAAATCGCCGCTGCTGCTAAAGTTAATATGATTCCCGGATATGATGGTGAAATCGCTGACGAAGAAATGTGCGTCAAGGTGCGCGAATCGTAACAGGGTAGAAACTCTTCATTTCTTGAGTTTAGGTCGCCAACGATATCGGATACCCTGTCATGGTTAAAGCCTCAGCCGGAGGTGGAGGTAAAGGTATGAGAGTTGCCTGGAATGATAAGGAGTTGCGTGAAGGATTCCGGTTAGATAAACTATATTTCTGGATATAATACAAGCTTTTAGTCTCTCAAAGCAGGAAGCTGCTTCATCTTTCGGAGATGATAGAATGTTAGTTGAAAAGTTCATCGACAACCCTAGACATATTGAAATGCAAGTTATCTGTGATAAGCATGGAAATGCTCTCTGGCTTAACGAGAGAGAATGCTCTATTCAAAGACGTAATCAGAAGGTTATCGAAGAAGCTCCTTCTTCATTTGTAACCCCGGAAATGAGAGCTAAAATGGGAGAGCAATGTAAGTTAAAACTTCGAGTAAAAATCATAAGAAAAACTTACAGCTGTTCAACTTGCTAAAGCCGTAGGTTATGATTCCGCTGGAACTGTTGAGTTCCTTGTTGACTCTAAAAGAAACTTCTACTTTTTGGAAATGAACACACGTCTTCAGGTTGTGTTATCAAAATAATATCATTGAAAACATATATCCTTAGGTGGAGCACCCTATTACTGAATGTATTACCGGAATTGATATTGTTCAACAAATGTTGAGAGTTGCTTATGGTCATAAGCTTCCTCTCACCCAAGCTCAGGTTCCTCTTCAAGGATGGGCTTTCGAAAGCAGAGTATATGCCGAGGTGCATTGATCATATTATAACCGTAGTTCAATGAAAAACTTAGGATCCATACAAAGGATTCGGTCTTCCATCCATTGGGCGTCTTCATCGTTACGTTGAACCACGCGATATTAGCGGAGTTCGTTGCGACTCTGGAATTAGAGAGGGTTCCGAAATCTCTATTTATTATGATCCCCTCATTTGCAAGGTAAACCCACGCACAAATTCAAAATTTAAGAACGTTATTCAGCTTGTGACTTATGGAGAGAACAGAAATCAAGCTTTAGACAAAATGGTTCAAGCCTTAGACAACTACGTCATTCGTGGAGTTACTCATAACATTCCCCTTCTCAGAGATGTATGTCATGAGAAGAGATTCCGTGACGGAAATATCACAACCAAATATCTACCAGAAACTTACCCTGATGGCTTCCAAGTAGGCTATTCTTTTACACATGATAATTTTTTGTGTTATTCAAGGGAGCAACTTTGAACACGAGCGAACAAAGATCCGTCATCGCTTTAGCTTCTGCTCTTAACGCTAGGAAACTTGCTAGAGCCAAGAAATTCCTCAATCAAACTCGTCAAAAAACCACAACTACTGAGCCATATAAGCTCAGCTATAAGTAAGCCGATCATTGCCTTCAGTTTTGATTCGTTTTCTCAGATTCGTTGTTGAACTTCCCACCAAGGAAAATGAGGAAAAAGTCAGACATAACGTCGAAGTTTACTTCAAGAATGGTGACGAAAAGAAAGCTCGCGTTTTGGTTAATGGCAAAAAGGTCGCAATATATTGCTCTGAAAAGTTTCAGCATATGTTGCATTTCAGGTTAAAATTGATGGAAATCTCAATCTCGCCCAACCTGTTGTTCATGTTGAGACTGATGGAAAGCCTGTTTGCTCTCAGATCATCAGCAAGAAGGCTGGAGAAATCACCATCCTTTTCAATGGAACACCTTTCAAGGTTAAAGTGCTCCCAGATTCTGCTATTGAGTACCTTCAACATATGAAGGAAAAGCCAAAGGTTAGACAAGCGAAATGTGATTCAATTTAAAATTTTTTTAAATTTAAGGTTGATTTATCAACTGTCATCCTCGCCCCTATGCCTGGAGCTATCAAGAATGTCTCTGTTAAAGTCGGAGATATGGTTGCTGAAGGCCAAGAATTGGTTGTCATTGAGGCTATGAAAATGCAGAACAGTCTCCATGCCGGAAAGACCGGAAAGGTAACAATTTGGTTCTTTTCGTTGTGCACTGATATCATGATCTTTAGGTGAAGAGTGTAAGTGTTAAAGTCGGATCAACTGTTGATGAAGGAGAGCTTTTGGTTGAATTGGAATAAGAAACCCATTTTTTTTTTGGTTTTTTAGCAGCATTTCTGTTTGGTTTAAATCACCGGTTTATTTTGTACAAACACGTATGTGATCATTAGTTTTTTTTTGTATTTTGCCATAATTAGAGTCTTAATATTAATTTTTGATAAATTTCTATCTTATGGTCTTTGATTTGTGATTGGACGGTACATTTACCTTTTACATCTCCAGATGTCGCCATTTTTGAAGATTTGAAAAAAACTTAGTCAAAATTTAGAATGTCATCAGCTTTTATTCCGGACATTGATAGTAATACCAAATCTCTTACTTCTTGTTTGGAAATTATTGATAGTGTGCAGTTTTTTGATAATAAGCAAGCAACAGAGATGAAGGAAAGAGCTGAGAAAATTCAGACTCTCATGGGAAATGTTCGTACGAAGCCGTTCATTATTTTAGAACTTTTTTCTCCAGATTGATGAGTTGAGGAAAATCATGGTAGAGCATCAGTCGAGTGCAACTAATATGGAAAATCATGATGTGTTCGTCGATAAAGTGTAGGGCTATTCTGCTGTAGGTTAAGGTTAACAGTTTTTTCAGAGCAAACTGTTCTGGCTCTGCAAAGAAGATTGCTGAAGCCCAGTCTACACTTCGGCGTCTGAAGGTATGTATAGAAATCATACGAGTCAACTGTCCTACTTAGAAACCGGTGACAAGGCCGGAACTCGATTCAGATGATGAGGATGTGCAGGAGGAAGAATTCAATTATGTGAATAAAGATCCATTAACCAAAGGTCCAATCACTAGGCCAGTTAAGAATAAGGTGAGAAGAGATGAAAGAAGCTCCAATACATATCTACAATTGAAGATATGTGGTCATGTCTATGACGCAAAAACAATCCTAGTGTATATCAAAGACTTGGAGAAAAAGAAATTTTTGCGTCAATGTCCTCAAAGTGGATGTACTAACAGGAGAAACCTTGTCATGGCTGATATGCAAGATTTTCCCGAGTTCTTCAGTTTATGCAAATGATCAAGCTTATTTATACTCGAGAAAAAAACTGATCTCCCCATGTTTTTTGCGATCACTCTGCTTTCTAAACTATTTGATAAAACCTCGTGACTTACAAGTTCTCTTAAAACTCTTTCACTCTGTTTACGTAAAGCTGTGTAGCAATCGCTTTAACAAAACTTAACACCTTCAGCATAACCGCCGATTTTGTGCTCATCTAATAATTCACTTAGTTGTATAATATCTGAATTTTTTCTTATATCAAAGATAAACACTGATAGTGCTATGTCTGTCTTACTCTGCGTAATTTAACTTTCGCCCTTCGGAACTCACTAAGTTATACAATCGTTTACTAATTGGGGTGGAATTTATCGAAAATGCATGCACTTCTGGAGAAAAAATCTTATTTCTTTTAACCTGAATGCTTTTTATGGCAAAGCCAGCCGAGGCATCTAACAACTGATAAAAGCCGAGTGAGCTTTCGTTTGCCGCGCCCGCGAAAAACCTTCTTCATTTTCAACTATCGACTTCGTACTTTTGCGTACAGTGACGAGGTCTCCTGCCAACAGTTTTTTCTATTAACTATATTGATTATAATGTATTCTACAATAACCTTATTCAAATAGAGCTAGAATTAACTCCAAATTACATTGCGCAGCTCAAACGATCGAAGTCGCTTTTCGAATCTTGCTTACTGTTTGGCATAAGCTGTATGGCGGATAATTTATCCGAAATATGAAAGCAAGCGATCGAAAAATTTGAAATAATGAGCTGCAATCTAGTAAAGATAGTAGTTGATTGAGCTGTCAACGTAGAAAATCGAACTGATAATGTTTATAAGGTTAAAGCCTCTCTCAGTTTTGAAAAGTGGGTTTTCATAATATCTAATTCACTTCAAGCTTCTTCGTAATCCGGAATCATCGGCTGATGTTGGAAGGGTCTATTCGTAAGTGTCTGTTCCTAGCGTATATTTGAAAATTATTTCAGGTTAGCAGAAATGCTTTCGTCTCGACAATAAGTGAAAATTAAATATAACCGAGAAGAGCAAGAGAAACAATTCCCTCATTTCATCAAATCAGAAGCGGAGTAAGTAACGGATAGTTTTTTTTCCTTTTTAAACGCTTTCTTTAGAGTTGGACAAGAAAAAAAGATGTTGAGTGAAAAGCTTCTCCACATCCTTCATTGATCTTTTAGCCAGCGGAACATAAAACTGTTATTATTTGATTGCTTTTCTAGGTTTCAATCTGTTGAATAAAAATAGTATTTAAGCATATTGATATTATATAATCTGTTTTACAACAGTATTGAATATCTCTTTGAGGGTCAGCACTGAAAACGCGCTATAATGCCCTACCCCATCCGGTACTCTTTGGCTACGGGTACTTCCCGAAATCCGTGAGAGTATCTTGGGTGGCTTTTCTGCCCATGTATACCTTCAGTAAGTCTCTTTTCTAGTTTTGCACTTGGATTTCAACCTGGCTCAACCGAACTCTAAACGTATTAGGCTATCGACCCTAAATAACTCCCAAACCTCTTACCACGTTAGGTATCATCTCCTATAAAGTATAGCTTTGAACGGCATTAACATCTAGAAGTTCCAGCACAATGAGCCGATCCACACGAAGTGAAAGAGAAGCCAAAGTGAGTATATATAAGCTTAAGTTGAAACAACTTTTTTACCACTTCTAGGTCAAGAATTTCATGTCATGCACTCAACAACCAGAGCATACAGCAATCACCTTTTTAGGGAGAGCTAATTGGAACATGGATTTAGCTGTTGATCTTTTTTATCAGGTTTTTCTCTTTATTTTCATTCTTTTCTATGTGTTTTCTACGTTTTAGCAAAATGTTGTAGCTGATAAATATAAATTAGACAGTTTATTCAACAAGTATGCGAATGGTGAGTGTTTTGTTTATTCATTGTTTGACAAATAGTTTGTTATAGATCCTAGGGATGATGTACCTCCGCAGAGAATTGGTCCTCATGGCATTCAAAAGTTGTTGAATGATCTTCATTTGGATGCTACTGATAGACGTGTGCTTCTGTTAGCTTGTAAGCTCAAGGTAATTTGATCTGTGAGCATTTATGGATTGAATACTTGCCTGTTCAGGCTGAAACACAATGTGAGTTCAGTTGGGAAGAATGGCAGACCGGGTTATCACAGATGGGGTGAGTATTTTTGAATTTCATTGTTAATTATTCAATTATTGATTTCTAGAGTAGACACGATTGAAAAACTTAGTGATAAACTTATGCAATTGGACACGGGTTTGAACGATCCTGGAGCGTTCCGGCATTTGTACCTTTATGCTTTCACGTATGGCAAACCTAGTGGTCAACGTAGTATGGATGTAGATACAGCTATTGCATATTGGAAAATTTTATTCAAAGATCAAGTTAGTTGAACTTCATGCGGTTTTGTTTCAATCGGTATTTAAAGTTCCCTCTTTTGCACTATTGGGAGCGTTTCCTACTTTTGGAAAGGCGTGCTATATCTCGAGATACATGGAATCTCCTATTAGATTTTTGTCTTACCATTCGGCCAGGTATGTAGCAACTTAGTTTGTTGTACTATTTTCTTCTTAGATTTGTCCAATTACGATGAAGAAGGAGCATGGCCTGTCCTAATTGACGAGTTCGTGGAATATGTTCGAAAAGAATTAAATTTACCCCGAAAAAATTGCTGAGAAATATTGAATGGCTGGTTAATGTCTGAATGTCATAGCTCATGTAAATAGATGATGCGTGTTTCTTTTTAAGGTGTTATTAGTACCGTGAATTAGGTTCTTTCTTGTAATGTCTTAGTTCTTTCCCCATTTTGGCTGCTTCGAAGTGATACATTTGCCTTGTTTTTTCAAGAAGAATAATTTTCTGTAGCAACTCTAGCTGCACATTGTTGTATGTTTGTGAATTACGTCTTCGTTTTGATGAACTCTTATCATCATCGAACATCGAATGCGATCTGTTTCGAGCATTGAATATCTACCCTTTTTCCAAGCTGTTGCTGAATTCATTTTTAAGGTATATAGGAGCCATGGAAGCCGAGCTGGAGAAAGTTGTCCAGAATGCGTAGGTTATTCTTTCATATTAAGAAATCAGGTCCAAATATAGACTATCCAATCCATCTTGGCAAGGTGTTGTCGTAAGTGATTTGAATGGATTACCACTTGCTTCTCGGGGTAGCCTCACGGTATACTAGCTTGTTTCCCTGTAAACATTTTTTTCTTGCTTAAGGGAACAACCGGGGTTATGGCTGCAGAGATTTTGAACATAGCTAAGCAATTAGAGCCTGGTACTACTGAAGTACCTGTTGTTTGTATCAATGGAGATAATTCCAAAGTGAGACTTTTGATATTTGCAAGCTTATAATGTTGAACTATTTCAGCTTTACTTTTCTCAATCAGGAAAAGTGATTGTAGCTTCTCATGTGTCTTCTTAAACTGTATTTTGATTATTTTTGTAGCATTTCATTATTAACTTCTTCTTGTGCTGTGATCTTGCGTTGTTTATAAACATTTTTATTATCCATGTTCCTTACATTAAACTGTTTTAGCTAATGTCAGGGAAAAAGAGGACAGATTTCTCGGCGAACGAGGACATCAGCTTGCGTCTGGAATTCACTGGAGGATCTGAGTTCCTTCTAACTGATGACCAGCAGAAAGAACTATTAGATTTGGTATTTGATTTAAGTTGTTCTTCCGTCACTCATGACTTTTTCAGATCAAAGTTCCCGGTTTCGAGAGCCCTTTCACAATTTCATCACTTCTCGAATGGATTGATGGCTATTTACTCAAAGTAATAAAAGAATAATCTCTAATATAACCACGCTTTGTTTAGGACTGTGATAATTCGGAAATGTTCGTTAAGGATGGTGAACTCCGACCCGGAATTCTCGTGTTGGTCAACGAATGCGATTGGGAGCTGCTAGATGGCGTAAGCGTTCCGCTCTTTGTTTATACTATAGAACGCTCTTTTGCAGTTGCATTCAGAACTAAAAAATGGTGATAAAGTAACATTTATCTCAACGCTTCACGGAGGATAATTTTATTTTTCTCGTTATTGTTGATATTTGGAAATTTTTATTTTTGAATTTCGAAAACGAAATGTTTTGTTGTTATTAACTGAAATGAATTGTGTTCTGCTAGCTTCATGAATGCAACCGTTCGATGATCTGTGAAAATGGAAATGACGAGTTACGCGCCCGGTTTCACGTATACGGGTTGGCTATGCTAATGAGCACTGGCATAATTACCAGGAGATCCTAGATGTCAGTCGCTTAAGAAGATATGGTGAAAGAAGAAGAGACAATTTAGATTTGGATTTGAGAGATTTGAAATGATTTCATTGATTCTTGCGCAATTGACAGCTCTGGTTTAATTAGATCGTCCAATATATTGTTAAAGATTTCAGACATACTTAATCCGATATCCAAAATACGATATGCAAATGATGGGCTTATTATGACTGAGTAGAAAATCGAAGAAAGTGAGTAGTTTGAAATTAAGGAATTCGTTCCTGATTGGCATCTTTAGAGAATTTCAAATGATAGTTTGACTAACAAGTTTTAAAGTTAAATGGGCTAATCTTTTATTTATAGAGTTCGTTTATCATTCGTTTTCTGCTGTTTCGAACAAAGTATAGAACCAGCTTATTTGATTTGTAGAGAAATAAGCGTTCCAAGTTTGTCTGATTAGTCGATCCCTTTTTCGTGCTCCAGAAGGTTAGCTTTCCATTTCTGAATCAATGGCGGACGCAAGGGGACAGCTATTTTTGTTTTCTGTTTTGGTCATTCATGGCTTGAACACGTCTTTTCGACATCATTGGTTGAACAGAAAAGGAAGCCTATAAAACATGGACGCAGTTAAAAGAGAAGGAAAAGGAAAGAGATTGGAAGAAAACGAGGGAAATTGTGAGAGAAATAAAAAATAGAAAAAAAAGCGGGAAAGAATAAATAAAGTCTGACCAAAACAAGGCTCAAGTTGTTGTGAGACTCGTCTATCTACGGAAAGATGAAAAAGCTGGCACGAGATAAACGGAGCTGAGAGAGGTCACAGGAGTCCCTGAAAATGTTATGAAAACAAAAGTTGTATCTTTCGTAGTTTGATGATAGAGTAACAGTTTATCGATTTTTTCTACATTTTGAAACAATTAGATATTTGGCGCGTTGAGTTGGGAAGGCATTATTTGACCACATGTCCTTGTAATGAACTTGGAAGAGCAGAAGAAATTATGATCATGATTTCCGCTTGCATTCATTTCTTGAATGATTCGAACATGTTTGAAGTTAAAAAGATGAATTGTAGGTTTTGAACTTCACACATATTGAATGAAATGTTATTGTTCCCAGGAAGGAAAATAGGATCATCATCAAGAATTCAAGTTGTTTCCCCTTCACTTATTAACCAATGGATAGATTAGTGGCATGGGAACAAAGGTTTTTTGAAAAGAGGTAACGTTGGTTGATCATTTGGTTAATGCTTAGGCAATTTCAGTTCTTTCTATGTCCTTATGAGGTTTCCAACATGTGTTTCGAGCAAGCAAGTAAAATACCGGAAGTTAGTTATTAGAGTGACCAGTGGAAACATGAATTCTTATAAAGGTCCAATTTTCTATTCATAAGTGGAATTTTTCCAGTGTCCAATGGTTATCAACGGCATGAGGAAGGAGGAAAAAGTTACTTTCCACCACCCAAGAAGTCCCTTGTGACATTCAAGGCAGCCAATCTGGGAAGAGAAAAGGACAAAATTTGCATGTGAGAGTAAAACTCAAAGAGCATGGTCAGCTCGGAGAGCAGCTGTCAGACATTGATTCCTCCGTTCAAAAGGAAACAGGAAGAGCCAAGAGATTGAGAAAGAAAGATTGAATGATGTAAAGATACTGAAGAAACGATTATAAGCTGAGTTGGTGCCTTATTTGGTTATTTTTACCTGATGTCAATTCTTACAGAGAAGGATTATCTGTTACGCTGCTGGCTGTAGGAAAATAGGAAGACCAAACCTCAAGTTAGTTTTTTATCTTTCGGACTGCCATTTGTGAACGCATGAAGTTGATATAAGTTTTATTTGGCCATATTAACTGGACTTAACGAGTGAATTTGGACTGGTGAATTGGAGCAAATTTTCTATGTGAACATGATGGGCAATTGCTCGAAAATGGTTGTGGTTCTGTGCGCATGTGAGATAGTGTCAAAGGGAAAATACTGTTCTCAAGAATGTCAACTAAATCTTCAATTAATCAGTAGTCCAATTGTTCCCCAATGCTTCATCATAAATTGCTATAGATGATCCCAAGCGATCCATCTACAGATTGCAAGTAAAGTAGATTTGAGGTTGAAGGAAAGAAAGGGATAGCATCCTCGAGATTAAGCTCATTGCTCATCGGCTATTGCGCCATCAGAAAATCTACAGAGATCTTATGATAAATTGACGTCAGAATATTGTCTCAAAGATTTCTGAAGAAGACAAGAGCAAGCTCGTAAATCTCATAATTTTATCCAATTATAGTATTTCTTATTTGAACGAAAATATGTAAGGAAATGAATTATTGAAAACGTCTTGTGATTCCAAATGGACATGAAATTCGAAACTTTCCAACAAAGGGCTCTGGATTTCACTTTTGGTCATTCGGCCGAGAGCAAATGGCTTTCGCCCCTGGGCGGATTAAACATTTTTTTGTTTTCTCCAGAGAAAGAAAAAAAAATTGTTCCTCGAAAGTGAGAAATTGAAAGTCGTTTTTATGGGCATCCCTCGACAGCTAATCCTAAAGATCCTTCCTTAATTAAGTTTTTTAAAAAAAGTTGTTTTTTTGCTTGAGATTGTGAAGAAGTTTGAAAATCTTGTCCAATCCCCATAAGGACATTTTAAGAATTCAGTGGATTAAGCCGCCTGTCAGGTAAATGGACACCTGTCCCATGAGATTATTGATATCCGATGTCGAGCTATAATTGACCATTCGATAGAAAGAGAGATTTTGAGAAAAAGCGTTTTCCTTTCATGGTCATTTATGATGACGCAAACTCTGAACTTTCGACCAAACGGAATAGAATTTCAAAGGTTTCGAAAGTTTAAAGCAATGAGTGTAAATAAAAACGATGCTGCATTTGCCTTCTGGCTGACTTTTTTTTTGCTTTTGTGCCGTGTGCGAGATATTTTTCTTCTTCGTCAAATCTTGTGAAGAAAGTCACAGCTGAAGACACTAACGAAATCATTAAAATTACAGCAGAATCTTTTCCGGAAGCTAAGATGTAGGACGACCCTTACACTCTCCTGAACTTTTCACAACAATTTACTCTTTTCTGCTTAATTTTCTTCTTATTTTAAACACTGAACATCATCTTTCTAGAATCTGATTTTGCTCGTTAAAAGCAACAGATGCCACCTGTGCAGCTTAATCCAGCGTTCCATCTTTCGGCTTTTCAGCTTAAACCTTCTCTTATTGCATAAGAGAGAAAGAAGGAAATGGGTCAGCTGTGTTGCTGTCACAACGCCTTAGGCAGACTTGAGAGCTAGGAAAAGTGGAGAAGAGGATCAAAAGAATGTATTGGAAAGCTCACATATGCTTTAGAATAGAGAGATGAAGAGAGAGAGAGCGAAATTGAAGTAAAATTGAATAGAGAGAGGGAGACTGTTAGAAAAGGAAGGGAGAGCGATAGAGGGAGGAAATGACGAGATGGCTTAAAATTCATCTT